TTTTAATATCTTTATAGTTATTTACCTTAATAATATTTTAATCTTTTTAGATAATTATAAGATATACTAGGAATATATATATAAGGTCTTAAAGAAGTTAAAGGATATTAACCTTTTAATAAAACTAGAGAAAAGCTAGTTCTTTATTATAAAAGTTAACTTCTTAAAATATACTATTTAATTTAATAAAATATAAATAGAAAAAGGAAAAATTATTATAATTACTAAATAAAAAGAACCTATAAATATTAAAGAAGTATAAGCCTTCCTTAGATTTACTAATTATTATTAATAATTTATTAAAGATTATAGAAAAATTACTTTATTACTATATAATCTTATAAAAAAGGATAATATATTTAAATAGATTAATAAATAATAGAATATATTTATTAATATTAAGAATAATATAACCTTTAAACTTATACTATAGATATTTAATCCTATAAGGGAAGTAGAACTTAAAGTTAATACTTTAAACTATATAATTAATATATAAATTAGCTAAAGAGATAATAATAAAGCCTTATACCTTATAGCCTTCTACTTAAAGAAACTATATAATATAGAACTTAAATACTTTATTTATAATAAGGAATTTATAGCTATTATATATATATTTAAGGAATTTAAATATTATTACTTAGGGATAATATATAAAGTTAAGGTATATATAGATTATAAAAATATTTAGTACTTTACTATAACCTAATAGCTAAATAAGAGATAAATATATTATATTAAATATCTATTTTAATTTAACTATAAGATTATATATAGAAAAGGATTAGAAAATAGAAGAGTTAATACTTTTAGTTAAAAACTAGAATATAAGGAAGTAATACTAAAAATTAATAAATAATTATTTTTAATAAATAATAAAGAATATTTAATATAGAAATCCCTTAAAGTTATACTTAAAGAAATAGTATATATTAAAGTCTAAATAAAAACTATTTCTAGTTTAAAGAAGCTATAATAAGAAGTAAGGATAATACTTATTAAAGAAATCTATAAGTATTTACTCTTAGGATATTAAAGAGTTAAGAAAACCTTTAATAAGATTAAATAATATTATAATTACCTTAGCTTATAAAAAGAAGTATAGATTATAGTTTTAAAGTATAATATTTATATATAAATTAAGTTAATATAATATAAACTATATAGAGAGCTTAAATTAATCTTAATACTAAAATAATTATAGTAATTAATATTCTTTAACTATATTATTAAACTATTACTATTTAGAGAATCTATAATTAAAGTAGAATATAATAGTATTTTAATAATTATTAATAGACTTATAAAGTATAAATATTTTATATTATATAAAGAAGTAAGCTTTATAAAAGACTTTATATACTAAATTCTATAATATATAATTATAAATTATAAACTACTTAATAAAATAATATTAAATAAAGAAATAATATTTATCTTTAAATTTTAGTAATTACTTATAATATAAATAAGTATAAAGTATAAGCTTTTAATAACTTATTATTTATAAAGTAATAAGTAAATAAAGTATTTAAACTAAATATTAAAATAATACTTATAAGTATATATTAATTATAAATAAGATAATTAAATATAATTACTATTTATAGTATAAATTATATATAATAATATAATATAAGAATTAACCTAATTATTATCTATATATATAAATTATAGTTATAAATTAAAGTTCTTAAGTAAATTAAAACTTAATAAATCTATAGTACTTATTATTATACTTATAAAAGAGATATTATATTTATTATATATAGAAATATAAGTTAAACTAAAGTTTATATAGTAAAGGATAAAAAAATATTATAATAAAATAAGATTAAAGGGATTAATCTTAAAGGAGGGAGATAAGGTCTACTTACTTTAAAAAAATATTATAATAATAAGGTTAAATAATAAATTAAATTATAAAAAACTTAAACTATTTAGAATTATAAAGAAGAAATTAAATATTAATTATAAACTTTTATTACTAAATATAATATATATTTACTTAGTTTTTTATATATTATTATTTAAAAAAGTACTAGAAAATATATTAAATTAAGATTATTTAATTAAAGTCTATAAAGAAGAATTTAAATTAAAAAGAATTTTAAAGAAAGAAGTTAGAAATAAGTAAATATTTTATTTAGTAAAATAGAAAGACTATAATAAAAATAATAATATATAGGAATTTATTAAATATTTAAAGAACTACTATTACTTAATAATAAAGTTTTATTAGTAGAAATAGGGAATAAAGGCTTAAGGTTAGAAAAGTTAAGACTTAAACTTAAGGAATTAAAGTTAGTTTCTAGAGTTATATCTATAAAATAAGTATCTTCTAGTAAGTAGTACTTATATATATTAAGAGCTAGTATAATCTTATCCTTTTTATCTAACTCTTATATACTTTATATAATCTTAGTTTAAGCTTTTTATTAAACCTAAGAATAAATCTTATAAATATATTATATTTAGCTTAAGGTAGTAAATAAGTCTACCTAGATATATATTATTTTATTATAAAGGAGAAGGATTTACTTATTAATATCCTCCTCCTCTATTACTAATTTCTTTTATTAAGTAATAAGTTTTTCTATTATTAAAAGGATATTAGAACTAGAAAGGGAGAATAAAGATAAAATAGAACTTATAAGAAGAAGCTACTAAAATACTATTATATAGCTTCCTTATACTTATATACTTAGAGTAATAAGAGGACTTTCTATTAAGATTAAGAATATACTCCTTTTTTTATTTAAAATACTAAGTATAAGGTATATTAATAGTAATACTAAAGAGGTTAATATTAACTATAAGAATTTTTTATTTATAAGTAATATCTTACTAGGAATATTTTTAGATATAGTTAGATATTATACTATTATAGGATAATAGAAGGGAGAGGTTAAATAACTTACTAACTAAGCTATAGAATATAGTCTTAAGGATATAATTAATAGGGAGGGGATATTATATTATAGATTTTACTTTAGCTTATATATAGTTATATAAAGGACCTATCTTTTCTACCTATTATCTACTATATAGGAATAATTAATAAGATTATAATAATTATAGTAATCTTAATTATAATACTTACTAATAATTATATTACTTTAATCTAGTATATATATATATTTATTTCTTAGATAGAAAATACTTACTTAAATAGTTATTAATATTATTACTACTACTTTTATTAAAACTAGCTCCTTAGTATTTATATATTAGTAATAACTTATATAGTACCTAAATAACTTAATTATACTACTTAGAATAATACTCTAATTAGTTTAACTTTAACCTACCCTAGACCCCTATCTAGTGTAAGTTGCCTAACTATTATATAGAACTATTATTCTATAGTATTAGTAAGGTATATTCCTATATATTTAACTTATTCTTCTTTATTTTTAAGTTTTATTAAAAAGAATTTAAAGTAAGCTTAAAGCTAAAGTTTAAATCCTTCTAGCTCCTTAATATCTTTAGAGAAAGGTCTTAAAGGAGTTAATTAAATAACTTCCCTTTAGTCTTTCTTCTTCCCCTTTTTAAATTAATTAATCTAAAGTATAAAATTTTATATTATCTCCTAAGTAATTAGCTTTATTAAAGTATTATTAATAAATATAATAAAAGCTATAGTATCTTCTTTATTATTATATAATAATTAAGATAAAGTAATTAGTTAAATAAAAGTTATTAATATATAATAAATAGCTAACTTATACTAGATAAAGTCTAAGGTAAATCAAGGTTAAACTAATTAAAGTATTATTCTAAGTAATATAATTAAGTTATTTTAATACTATATAAATTACTATTAATATATAAGTATTAAGGAGCTAGTTTTAATAAAAGTAGTAATAGTAATATTAATAACTATTTAAGAGAGTATTTCTATTTAAGAAATAAATATATATATATATTAGGGTTATTACTATCTTATTACTAAGCTATTACTCTACCTAAGTAATAGGTTAATATTATTAGTCCCTAAGTAGAGCTTATTAATCTACTTTATATATAACTTCTTACGCCTAGCGGAGGCCTTTATTCATAATAGGTGGTTGCTCGGCTTTGGATGGAAAATAGAGGGTTAGGAAACCGTTTATCCGCATCACACTGTGTGAGGCTATAATGTAGCCAGCCAACAGCCAGAACTAGTTAGTGTGTGGTTTTCCATGTGTCGTTCCACATACCTTGTAAATTATGATAAAGAAGAGCCTATAAGCTAAAATGGCCCAAATGAAGATGTTTCCAAAGATCCGAGGGACTAGATGGTGGGGGTGGCAGATTATGAGAGCGCCATTCCAGTAGATGGCCACAAAGGTCTAAGCTAGGGCATGGATAAAGCGAGGGTACGTGTTGTGGCGGAAGTAACCGGTCACTTTAAGAATTTATTGATTAAGGCACGGGCTTCAGGGGGAGCTAAGAGCGAGAAAGATTTCTTCGCACTTATCTGCAATGAATTCGTTGTCTTCGGTCTCGGTAAATTCATTAAACTTGCATTTCTCAAAGATGTCACGAATTGGATGGTTCTTTTCTTGTCCAGCTCAGCTCGATTGATGAGTGATGGGGTTGTTGATGCATGTGGTTTAGGGTAGGCAAGCTCTAGTTGCACTGTTAGTAAATCATCAGAGGGTCGAGCTTGCAGCCGGATGGCTGCTTAGATCTCCAAACACTTGGTGTTAGATGCACGAATTTGATCTTGAAGTGCGTACACCCTCAGGCGAGGGGGATAAGATGATCGAATTTATTACCTAGTCGGATGAGTGATATTGAAGAAGACCTGCATGGGAGCATCCAGGGAAGGCGCATTACGTAATCTGCCTATGGGCAGGGTTTTTCCGCCCCGCGAAAATGACGCGAAGCAAGCACGCGTTCTGCAGGGAGCCAAGAGAGGCGAGTCAAGACCACCAGGTAGCCTGCAAGGTCCCATAAAATATTCACCTTTCAACCAATTTCCTTGGCTGAACTACCAGAGTCGACCCAGAATGCCACGAGGCACGAAAAGGCCTACGTCGGCCTTGTCCGAACCCGGTAGTCCGAAGAGTGTTGCGAGACTGCTTTGGAAACCCAAGAGAGTTAGAGTTTCGGAGGTTACCTGGGAGGATACTAAGGAGGGTACTACAGAGGCCACTACCTCTACGGAGGATACTGAGGAGAGTCCTGAGCAGGGTGCCGAGGAGTATACCGAAGAGTATACCGAGAAGAATGACGGGGGATATACTGAGGAGGATAGCGAGGAGTATGCTGAGTATTGGCCATCGTGGTTTCTTGACATTCACACGAACATGACAAGTATGGAACAGAGTTTTGGCTGGTGGGATGAAGGGGGCTCATCGGAGGATGAAGGCCCAGAACCAATAGAGGATGCAGAGCTGGCAGAGGAGCCCGCAGAGGACACGGAGCCGGCAAAGACTCCAAACCTAGCAAGTAATCAAGATTTGCGACATGGCGCCCCGGCAAAGCATGCCAGGCCATTGAAGACGCTGGACGAAATAAACCTCGACGACGCCAAGAACCGTGACCGTTGGAACGTGCAGCTCAATAACCAGAAAATCAGAAGGAGCACCGACCCTAGCTTTGAGAAGCAGGTAATTCTGGCCCAGAATGCGACCAAACTCGTCTCAAAAGCGTATGAGATGCTCGAACGAACGCCTCCTAGAGAACGATCCATTGTTTGGATGAAACCGCGCTATGACATGTATTGCGAGGAACATGCCAGGCTCTTTGCAAAAAATGACGACGACGGAGAGTACGAACAGGGAGACGCCAGGGTGATCAAATTTATCCGCATCTCGAGACAAGAGCTTGAGGGGCGAGATATTGACCCAGACTCTATCCCAGGACAATCATTCCAAGCTGACATCAGGATCTGTGGCGGCCTTCGAGGAACCAAGCTCTTCTCAGTTTGTTTAGCAGACACCAAGCCCATTGAAGTCGACTCTTGGTCAATGGGGGTCCTGCCCTTTACCTTCATCGACGGCTACTTCTTCAAGCTGAGGCTTCCAAGGGATAAAGTGCTCCGGGGAACAAATATCGACCCATCGAAAGCTCCCGAGTTCTTTGACTTTGTTGGCATTGCGCAGGGTTATTAGGAATCTTCTGCCCGAGATCTGGGTTGGCTGGTGCTTTTAAAGGATGATCTGGGGATTTTTCTCTCTTTCATGCTATGGCTTTTGTAATTTTAAAGTAATGATGATGGTACTCCGACTTTGGGAACGCGTCCTAATGAAATTCCGACTGTTGTCCCGGGCTTCGATATGAACACCCCTAGTACACCTTGGCAACCTTTTAACCCTATCACTACCTCGTCAACGATCATGCAACATGAGGCACGGCCCATGATGGCATGTATTGAGTATATCCAACGTCTTGACCTCGTGAAGGGCCCTTTTCATATTCTTTAACCAGCATCCCAAGCCCCCCCCCCCCGCGGCAGGCTCAAGTTCCAACTACCAACAGACTGGACTCGTGCGAAGAAGAGACTCGGCTCCTGGTCGGCTATCTCTTGGTAGGTGAAACGCTGATTTGTCTCATTGCTCAATACCTGAGTTGAGGCTGTATCTGTAGGCAAGCTGCAATGCAACCAAGGTCACGACACTCTTCGGGCAGATTGACCGACTGACCGCATTTCTATAGAACATCCGGGAACATGTCAATGTATCGAACCGTGAAGAGCTTAAATACCTACTGTTGCTGACCTGTAATAGGTTTACTGACCATATTGCGTTTGCGATGGGGTTTTCTGCCATGTATGGTATCAAATGGCATAGTCGCGGTTGTCGCCTATGGTAGTTCGACTTTTCCGCTCTTGGGTTTTGGTAGAAGCCGGTGAGTAATCAGCCGTGCCTTTGTTCGCTTCAGATACAATCGATATGGGATTTACTGCAAGATAATCGTCATGGACCTCGGCAGCCGCATTGAACTCCAACGTGTCTGAGTCTACTCTGACCACGGGGCCATATCCGTGGTCGTGGTGTGTCACATAGGTGAAGCACTCCTTCAAGGATGGTAGCTTCTATACGGCCAAGGAGGCTTGGGTTTCCGCAAAGGTGTTACTCCCTAGGAACGGTCACGCTCGAAGATGCGAATCACAAACAAGCTGCTTACGCGACCAATGATTCGACACAGTGCACTGAAAAGCACAGTCCATGGCCTGGGCGATCAAGGGGATGCGATCTCCCTGTTGCCACACTTGGATCATTCGATGTGTTGGAGCCAGACCTAGAAGGCGTGTCCAGTAGATGAAGAGTAAAACGTGCTTCATAGTGTAGACTAGAAGCCCAAACGATGTCCCCTGGCTAACTCAGAGAATATCCGAACCCACGTTATGAGCGGTTAAGATGAAGAGAAGTCGATGGTTCAATTCTATCTCAAGGTCGGAAAGTTATGATCCAGGCAGCATGAAAGGTCCCGTTTGGTGTTGAAATGGCTTATGAATGTTGTGAGCCCATCATGTGTACCGTAGTGTCTTTCTGCCCTGACATATTAGTTCCTAAAAGACAATGATGTCGAAGATATCAGAACATCCTCAACGAGCGAATATGAGCCAGAATGGTTCCTGTCGGCGTGCGAGGACGCAAGGCCATCCTGGAAGCTGTTCTCATCTATTTCTCTCGGTCCGAAATGAATCATTCCGGGACAGCATATCTGGTGGAACTTCTCTTTCGCACAGGCCTGGCGAAAAAGTCCCACGACTTTCTCCTCTACCGTAAGACTCCCGATTCGAGTGTTTTCTTGGATAGGTCTGCCATAAAAACCCCAAGTCCAAGGTTCTCAAATTGGGATACGGAACCGGCCATTTCACATGTTTGGTTCTTTCTACGTTCAACGATGTTAGCGAACGGAACGGAGCGTTCTTTTTTCCTGGGAAAAAAAAATAAGCAAAGAACAGAAAGAAACTGGCACGGATATAGCTCCCGGCATTTCTTTCAAGCATATGGGTGATTTGACGAGCTTGAGAATCAAGTGACATATCTAAAGCGTGGCCCAGAGCAAATGCGGACAGGAGCAAGCACTTGGAGTGTCGATGACTCTGGTGGTGATGTAGCTTATGTCTGCCATGTAGGGTAGGCTGGTAGGCTGAAGTTTGGTACCTCCTGCTCTATGATGAGTTCGGGCACGTGATTGCCTGAGATTGCAGGCTTTGTCGCAAGACCCAAAACTCGCTTCTTTCATGTCTTGTGCTGAATTCGCGACGTGGTCTTGTGCCATGTATTTTGTTAATTTAATTCCTGCCTAAGCTTGCAACCTGTTCAAATGCGCCTTGTTCACTTGAGTCAATGGCGTTTTGCAATGCGCCAGCCTTGGTTGTTGGCCCCTCACGCTTCTGCTTTTGGTCATGGATTTTCGACAGATGACTCCTGCAAGCTGCAGTCTCTTATTTCAGCCACATGCACTCTGCACCAAGCTTCGAAGTCCGAGACTCTCGGTCTAAGCCTCTGTGATATGTGTCGGAAGGGTGAGGTACGGCCACTCCGACATAGCCCGCATGAAAGTGCATCCATCGCATGCGCCTTGTAGGCCAACAGTGTTGCTAATAATAAATTAGAGAAAATGCCAGAGGTACGAACAGGGGCTGCAGCGCCTACGATACTACCGTACCCCTCACTGCTTTCGCGACGGGCTTACCTTTCGCCTTCTTCATCTCTCAGTATACCCCGAATTACTCTTGTTTGCTACACGACAGCGTTTCCCGTTGATCAGAAGAGAGCGTTGATTCATCCATACCTGCTTAAATACGAATCATCAAATTTGGCCTACGCAAATGCGACTCCTCGAATGCAATGGCGGAGGCGTTCGCCTGATGGAGTTTCAACCGGGCAGCATTCCTGAGTATGCCATACTGTCGCATACCTGGGGATCGGACGGGGATGAAGTCACCTACAGCGACATGATAGCCGGCATTGCCCCCCAGAAAGTGGGATACGACAAAATCACGTTCTGTAGGGAACAAGCGAAACGTGACAAGCTCCGATACTTCTGGATTGATACCTGCTGCATCAACAAGAATAACGGCCCAGAGCTACTTGCTTCCCTCAACTCCATGTTCGCATGGTATAAGGATTCAAAGAAGTGTTATGTATACCTCTCAGACGTTTCTAAAAGGACCGAACAACCCGGTCTTGAATCTGGCATTGCTTCATGGGAACTGGCATTTCGCAATTCTAGATGGTATACTCGCGGTTGGACGCTCCAGGAGCTTATTGCGCCCAGATCAGTTACTTTCTATTCTAAAGAAGGTCACTTCTTGGGCGATAAAACCACACTGGAGAGTCTCATTCACGATATCACACGCATTCCAGCCATGGCTCTCCAAGGTAGCCCCTTGTCGCATTTCACTGTCGAGGATCGGTTTGCATGGATGAAGAGCCGCACAACCAAGGAACCAGAAGATATGGCATATGCATTACAAGGAATTTTTGACATCTTTTTGCCTATGATGTATGGCTGCGGGAAAACACAAGCAATGCAAACACTTAGGAGATCGATTCATGATGATGAGATTGCAAGGCTTTCGGTCACCGATGCAGACACCTATCTTCGGAACGATCACTATAACGACGAGAGATTAAAAATCGAACGATTATCGAGAGCAAGGCTTTCCATGAGACACTGCTACATCAATCTTGCAATTATTAAGAGAGGCCGGGGAAAATTGATGGAAGAAGAGCCACAGGGCGAGTCATCACCATTTGAGATCGCTCACCGACTCAAGATCCAGGATCTGAAAGAGGACATCAAAGCGGACCTTGCTACATTATTTGACACCTGCCAGGACTCCGACAATAGAAGGATCTTGATTCGCGGGCGTGCTGGTGTTGGCAAGACCACGCTGTGTAAAAAGATCGTCTTTGAATTTGAGCGGCACGAGCTCTGGAACAATTTGTTTGAGAGAATACTCTGGTTCCCACTCAGAGGGCTTAAAACCTGGGCGAGCAATAACTGCAACCTGAGGGAGTTTTTGCATCACTTTTACTTTCGACATCATCAGTTTGGTGTCGCTTTAGCCGACCGACTGGCGTCCGCTATTGATTTCGATGGACACCGATACGAGAATGCAAAGACCCTGTTCATCCTCGATGGCTTAGACGAGGTCGCTAATACATGGAATCCGGGGGATGCAAAGTATGATTTCCTCGTCCGGTTGCTGAACCAACCGAATGTGATCATAACATCACGTCCCCATGCTCAGATCCCGGAGCATGTTGCCCGACACATTGACCTCGAAGTAGAAACGATAGGATTCTACGCAAAGCAAGTGGAAGAATATCTACAAATGGCCTTTGGAGACACAGAAAAGGCGGCCAAGGCGCAAGAAGTTCTGAGGACGTTTCCTCTCATTGAGAGCTTAGTTCGGATCCCAATACTGCTCGATGCTTTTTGTTTCACATGGGATACCCTTAGTCTGACCGGCAATCATACGACACGACAGACAATGACGTCCTTCTATCAGGCCATTGTCGAAGAGTTACTCAGGAAAGATGTCGTGCGATCTGAAAAGCCTAATGGGCAGCCAGTCACTGAAACCACCGCGGCCGGGCTGCTTGCTTGTCAACTTGAAGCCCAATCCGAGGAGCAGCTGCGTCTTCTTGAAGATCTCGCCTTCACGGGAATGTTTCATGACATGATTGACTTTGAACCCCGCCACCGCAATGTCGTCTTGGAAAAGTATGGGCATCATAGAAACATTACATTGGTTGACCAATGTCTAAGATCTTCTTTTCTCCGCACATCAGATTTCAATGAGACCACAGGTAGCGTGAGCTATCATTTCCTGCACCTGACATTTCAGGAATTCTTTGCGGCGAAATATTTCGTACGCCAGTGGACTTCCGAAAGGCAAATAGTATGCCTGGATCTGGGTAGCAGAACGACTCGAGCTATGCAGAGGGATGATTTCCTTGCGAGATACAAGTATGAGCCCAGATACGATATCTTTTGGCGTTTCGTTGCTGGGTCAATCGATGCCCAGGGCCAAGAGGAAGTGACTCGCTTTTTCCGGATGTTAGAGGATCCTCAATCGAGGGACGTGCTGGGACCAGTACACCAGCGACTCATCATGCACTGTCTGGCAGAGGTCTCCCTGCAAACGAGTTTGAGAGCAGACTTGGAGCTGAAGTTGGAAAAATGGCTAGTCTTCGAGATCAAGCTCAAGAAAAAGTCTACATTTCCAAGAGAGTCGGAATTTCCAGAAAGCATTTTTGCCAAAATCGCTGATAGCGAGGACACAAGAACCATATGTGAGGTGCTGGAGGCATTGCGCCGTCGGACTACTATAGCCAATACACTCCTGCCTCCTATTCTCACCTGGCTTAATGATCTTAATAAGGCTGTTAGGCGCCTTGCGGCTTTTGCCCTACACAGTCGGGCATCTGACCCTCAGGTGCAGGGGGCCCTCTTAAACCGGCTTGATGATGATGATAATGGTTTTGTTAGAGCGGCTATAGCCAATGCCCTCCGCAGCCAGGCATCTAACCCTCAGGTGCAGCAGGCCCTCTTAGAGCGGCTTGATGATGATCATGATTTTGCTAGACGCTATGCGGCTATTGCCCTCCGCAGCCGGGTATCTGACCCTCAGGTTCAGCAGGCCCTCTTAAACCGGCTTAATGATAATGGTCCTCTTGCTAGAGGGGCTGTAGCTAAGGCCTTAGGCAGCCGAGCATCTGACCCTCAGGTACAGCAGGCCCTCTTGAAGCAGCTTCGTGATGATGATAGTCTCACTAGAGACGTTGCAGCTGATGCCTTAAGCAGCCAGGCATCTAACCCTCAGATGCAGCAGGCTCTCCTAAACCAGCTTAAGGATGATATGGCTCGTGTTAGACAGGCTGCAGCTATTGCCTTGAGCAGCCAGGAATCTAGTCCTCAGGTGCAGCAGGCTCTTATAAACCGGCTTAATAATGATGCTGCTGCTGAAGTTAGAGAGGCTGCAGCTAGTGCCTTGAGTTGCAAAGCATCTAGCACTCAGGTGCAACAGGCCCTTTTAACCCAGCTTAAGGATGACAATGCCGGTGTTAGACGGGCTGTTGTTTATGCCTTAAGCAGTCAGCTATCTAGCACTCAGGTGCAGCAGGCTTTGATAAACCGGCTTGATGATAATGATACTGATGTTAGAAGGACTACAGCTAATGCCTTGAGCAGCCGAGCATCTAACCCTCAAGTGCAGCAGGTCCTCTTGAACCGGCTTAGTGATAATATGAGTCCTGTTAGAGGGGCTGCAGCTGATGCCTTAAGAAGTCGGACGTCCGACCCTCAGGTGCAGCAGGCTCTTATAAGCCGGCTGAATGATGATGCTGCTGCTGACGTTCGAAAGATTGCAGCTGCTGCTTTGAGCAGCGAGGCATCTAGCCCTCAGGTGCAGCAGGCCCTTATCGGCCGGCTCAATGACAATGTGCCAGCAGAAAGGGCTCTTTTAGATGCTTTGCATCTGACTGGATTTGGACCTTTTGACAAAAGGCACATAAAGCAATTTTATGCTGGCGCACTTGATCGAGGCTTTGAAAGTCACTATTGCTGGCAGCTCCAGCCTAACGGGTTGCGTGTGGTCACGCCCCAGAAAACATCAGACTTGACTGTTACTGGCGAGCATATCACATGTGTCAAGGAAGCCCGGGAGGAGAATGGGACCCCGGACGCCGAAGAACCAAATGAGAGAAAAAGGAAAAGAGAAGATGATTCCTCGGCAGGATGATTCATGAATACGGAATGGAGTTCTAGGGGTTACTTGCGACAGGGGCGCTCCAATCTGCATACATGAGTGAGGGTGAAGTTGCGGTGTTGATGCTGTTTATGATTTCCCACGATTGTCTAGCGATGAATTGGCTTGATGCTGAAGATGTTATTGGGACTTTTCCGCCTTGTTAAGCTATGTTCACGGTTGCGAGGGAGGCCACTTCAAACTCCCGAGAAGACAAGGGATGAATCAGGGGTCGTCAAAGGATTGAAGACGGTGGCAAGATCACGAAACCGAGTCTAAATTTCTCTTGCTCCGAGTCTTGACCACCTCTGGTCTATTGGCGACTCTATCTTGGGTTGAAATGCTGATCCTATCTGTGTGCTTTTTATACACAAAGGATAAATGCATCAAAGCCCTCACAACTATGAGATATCAGAGGCTATCAACTATTATTAGCGTGATCTCTTCTACGGGGCTCCTGGTTTCACACATTTCCACATTGTTGGCGCCGCAAGGCTGCCATTTAACATGAGCTCAACATTGCCTCGTGATCAGACACCAGTAACGAGCTAAGCTATCTGGACTATGCTTATTGACGACAGAGAATGTTACTACAGCTTATTCAACACTGGGCTATTCAGCGGAGGGCATGTGGCGGCCAAGTGCGAGCATTATGCAAATTGGGTGGGCAAAAGAGCATATTGAATGATCTCATCTCCCCTGCTCGTGCATACGAGCGAAAATATATGCCCTTTTTGAAATGGTAGTCTGATGCTCACGTAAAGATATAAAACTGCCAAGGAACTAACCCGCATCTCACGCGACGGCAGCATATCCTATTGGGTCGACTGCCGTTATGTAAGTTGAGCGTAATGATCCTGACGCATTGACCCGACACATCATGTTTCATGTTGTAGTGGTAAAGAGAGCCGTGCCCATGTCATCTGAGATTGAGGCATCCGAGGGACGAGGCGAAGTAATGGAATTCAGGGTTGCATTGATGCGTTGTAACCCTTGGTCGCTCGTGATTATCCCCAACGAGGCCCATTCTGACTTCTTGGCTGGCCTGAGTCGCCCTCTCCTGCTCTTTCAAGACTGGGTTGTGTCGTGCCAAGGTACGAGTATCTGGATCCAGAAGGTGATGAAGTGAATTGCTGAGGGATGGCGGTAGAATGAAATGTATAAATACTAGAGGTATATCAATACATTTTGAGAGCTCATCATCGAGGAACAAGCAATCCATCATATCTAATAGCATCACACACTGTTAATTCTCCTTCTTTTCATCATGATATTTCAAAAGACGTTCGCAGCAGCAGCATTGGCCCTCTTGCCTCAGCTCGCCGATGCCACTCGACTCTTCTACAACAGCGGCACGGTGTCAGGCTGGAGCGGCGACCCTTTCACCGAAAACAAGGGCACAGTCGCCGAAGTGACAAATGTGTACTCCAAGGGCCCCACGGCCCTGAAGATGACACAGACCTACGACTCCAGCTGGAAGGGGAGATACCACTCCGAAGTGAGGCTCAACGACGGCTACAAGACCGGTGACGAGCGCGCCTATGCCTTCAGCTTCCGCCTCTCGGAAAGCTGGCAGATCGTCAACGAAGGGTACAACATTGCCCAGTTCATCGCGGACCTGGCGGGCGCGTGCGACGACTGGATGCCCTCGACCATGATCTGGATCGAGGGGAACCAGCTGGTCACGCGCTATGTCAACGGCAACTACGTCGTGCCCGAGTGTAAGCGCAGCATTCAGGGTTCTGGCAAGATCGCCACTGTTACCCCGGGCAAGTGGCACAGAGTCATTGTCGAGGCCAAGTGGAAGAACGACAGCACTGGGTACTTGAAGCTGTGGTTTGACGGCAAGGTGGTGTGGGAGAAGAATAACATTGCGACCACGATCAAGGCCGATAAGCAGTTCCAATTCCGTGTTGGACTGTACGCCAATAGCTGGCAGGATGGTATGGAGGGAAGCCAGCCGTTCCGGCAAATTTGGTATGACGAGGTAGCCGTTGGAACTACTCTGGCAGATGTGCAGTGATTGACTGCCGGTGAAATATTCTCACGGACTTGGTGGATAAGTTAGGACATCGAAACGTCGGAGAAAGGGTGAGGCTATCTCATAGAAGTGAATTGAACTTGGAATATGATTTCAAATTGCCACCAAGTGCTGCTGTCGTCAAAACTGTGTCCTTCGGCTAAAACCTCAGGCCAAGTGACCAAATCATCAGGCGGAAAACCAGAGCTGAGCGAGCCGTAACAGACGACTTGTATCCGAGACATCCAGAAAATACCTCCACGGGCTCACACCAACATGCAGAGCGTGACACATTGGATCATATACAATCGTCGCGTTTGGCGCATTCACATTCGTCAACTGCAGAACAGTGCTTATCACTGAAGCCATTGTCATCAGAAACCCATATATGGAAAACTGTAGATTCATCATGAGAAAGCAGAACTGGATGACGTTTTTCGGGGTGGTGGTCGTCAACTCTCCAGCCTTCCACGACCCTGCCGCACCCCGCCACCAGGAGTGAACAATGAGCGGGAACGCGAAAAAAAGACTTATGACAAAATAAGAAAGAAATATAATCAAGTACATAGTAATTGGGACAGTCGCCCCGATGCGGGCAAAACCATCGGAACCCCAATCCTTGCTGCAAAGTTCTCTTGCCGAGCACGGAGAAAAGCCAGGGGCATTCTGGACTTGATCCTCCAGGCAGTGGTAGAAAAAATCACCAGTTCTGAAATAGTTTCGCTCTTGATAACGGGAAGGATTTTTGAGTAAGATATAGAGAGTAATGAACATCTGTATGGCTGTGAACATGCTCGCGCAATACACCAGTATGAGTTGTGTCTTGGGCTTGTCTTTGAGGCTGCATGAGTATGGATGGAAAAATAGACCGAACGCATATCGGTAAGGAGCCACCCAGCTGAATAAGCTAACCAAAGCTTGGTCATCTGGGCTTCTGATGAGTTTCGCTGCCGAGTACCACCAGAACCCTTGTGAACCGAGTTGATATACATTCAAAATCCAGTCTAGAAGTGTGAGTCCCTTGCATCCAGATGGGTGAACACGCGCTTCGATGTACAAAGTACGAGCTTGCCATAGCCCGATAAGGGCTATTATGTTCAATGTAGACCACGCCCAGAGTGATGTGCTGGGAAAGCTTGTTACCCGTGGCTGTGAGGGAATGATCTTGTAGCCCTGGAAGCAGGCGGCGGCACTGCACCAGTGTGCCTCGGCACAGTCGAGGCACTCTATCGAAAATAGTTTCTCGTCTGCTGAGAGCCCTCCCATGCCAGAACCAATGACGGTTTGGTTAAAAAGCAAGGCACAGTCGGTTGGTTCTGGAACGGTTGCTGCACATGCCACAAACCGAGAGTTTTTATAGAGAAGATAGTCCATGTTGCTAGGACTTGCATCGGTAGTCCTTGTGCTGGTGAAAGCGGACACGAGAATGACAAGGCCTGTTTGTATTAAGCCAAAGAAGATTAAGAATCCCCAGAACAAGGTTACGCGGAATCTGTTGCTCTCAAAATCCTCGAATTTTTGCACGTCATTGCCGTACTCAATTGAGCCGCTGCTTGATCTCTTGACCCCGGATCTTAGGCTGGTGTGAATTTGAACTTGCATATTGAATTAGGTGAAGAGCGAGAGCGTTGGCCATGGTGTCGTTCCTACATCGTATTTATCAGCCTGGTCATCATAGTCCATGCGTTTTGGGCGGCTGTGATGTCTGACGAGGCTGAGCTTGACTTCAGGAGAAGTACCAATCAGTGGCGGAGTGGACGGCCTTAGACAGCTTTCCATGTTGTCTCGGCCTATTCCCTAGGATTACTATGCCTCAACGAATTGCGGTGTGCTAAACGCCGTCTTGAGTCCCAGTAACGATGTTCGGACAATTAATCGGCGCACGGCGATGTAAGCTGCTGAGCGAGGTGGATTGAGACATCAAACACCGGCAATATTCGACATCGGCTGTTCCGGTAGGTGTCTAAGACCGGCTTATTGGGAGTGTAATTGCGAAACAACAAAGCCGTAGGAGCATTCAGCTTGTCAACACCGCTTTTTCGGAGAATCGGGGGCCCGCACCGTCGATCTGAGTCTCTGGGTCATCTTCGACTAAGACTGCCTGATTCTGCCGTACCATCGACTCTGCCGTACCATCGACTCTAGAACTGTCTTTTGTTTCTCGTCTATGCCCATGAGCGTGAAGCATATTTATGAGACCCAAAATTCACGGATGGAATAGAGAGAAGGTTTCCAGCATTTCTCGCTTCTTGGCTGACAGTGCATTGCTGCATGGATGGATCGGCGGATACGTCGCACGGTCGGGGGAACTTTGGTCGGCTGTAAGAAAATGCGTCAGGACATGTCTTAGTGTATTGATTCGAATATTTGAGATCGGTCTTTAGATTGACTTTGACAACGCGATTCGGGCTGAAGAGAAGGGGCTGGCGCAGAGAACCGGATTTTCTTCTAAGCAGAAAGATCCGAGGGTTTTCGGGACATGCTCATTGTGCAGGTGAGGGGTTACCGAAGACTAGAACGACACTCGTTAGCTAAAGGCATTTCTTAGACGAGTGCATCTGGGAAGTCAAACCATTTTTCTGTGAAGTTTGGAATTTCGTTGGGAATTCGTTAAGGACTGCAATACCTGCTGCGTCGGAACTGGAGGTGGAGGAGGCAGGAAGCAGTCACGTGCTGGCAGCCTCGGACTGCACCTGCCTCAAGGAAGCGACCAGCTGCTGCCATCGATCACTCGTGATTTATTTATTTTTCTTCGAGAGAGTATTTCGCAAGATTACACCAGACAAGTTTCTATCAGCTACCAACGGCAAGGCAATCGCCCGACTTCGAGAACTACACTATCTTTTCCACTTGCGGAGCTCCCAGTACCGCCCTGGCAGATAGACAACCAATGTGACCGCAGGGGCAAGCATCCAGCTTATATCCGTTCCTGTAGGTGAGCCTCCGATAGCCGCAGCAATCGGTCCAACCCACCAGACTTGGCTCATACAGAGAAAGGCAACAAGCGTTCCCAGCGCGAAACTGACGGCTGCGGCAATCCCTACAGGCAGCTTCTCCTTGTCATTCCAATCTGTGAGATTGTACGTGAACCCCTTCCTCCAGAGATAGTGCTCTGCTAACAAGACCGTGGTCATAGGAACTAGGTAGTAGGCGCACATGTTGGCAAAGTTTGTCATGACGCTCTCGAGGTGATCACGCCCTGCAACCGCACATACCAAAAAGACAACCCCTCCAACAACCGTGAATAAAAAACGAGGCACCCGAACCGCCTTCTCCGTCATCATTTGGAAGCTGAGACCGATCGAATACATTGAAACGACACCCACAGCTGCCGTTGAGAAGGATATAACGATCTGGACAAACGTGCCCAGTCCGCGAACACCGGAGCCACGATCAGCAAACGTTTCTTCGATCAAGCCACCGAGTCCGAACGAATCGTACGCGTGCCTAAAACGTTCATCGGGACTCGAGATAAGTGTACCCAAAGCAGCGCCCAGTGCTTCGAGCAAGAACTGGCTAAGGAAAAGGCCGCCGTAGGAACAGGCGACAACGACCCAGTCATTGGTTTCCTCGTTCATATACACGCTGTAGTCCGCTGCGCAAGGAACCCATGCGACCTCGCAGCCGATTATTGCCGTGCCGAAAGCTAAGACGGAGGCAGTTTCCTGTGTCCCGGAACCCATGGGAATATTTTCGAAGTGTGAGCCACCGAAACCAGCAAGAATGGCAAAACAGCAGAGCATGACAAGCCAAGCATATCGTTGGTACGCATGGATGTAGTCGTATCCAAAAAGAGCGATAATTATAGAAATCGCCCCTATCAAGATGACGCAGACTGCTTTTGGGAGCTTCCCACCGCCAACAACGAAGAGGATGTCGCCACCCGAGAGCGCATTGACGATGGCCCATCCCATTTGGGTGAAGATGTTGAGCAGGACGACTACCTTTGTCGGCCACCAACCAAAGGAGAAGCGTGGCAAGATTAGTGTCCGAAGGCCAGTTCGGTGACCGAAAGCCGAGACTATCGCAGGGAACACTGCTCCAATAAGGTTGAAGAAGAGCACGCAGAGAAACGAGTCCCACCACCCCAAGCCGAACAATGTAGGTCCAAGGTACCCCAGAGCGAGTGCCGTGGTGCAACAATTAAAACTAAAGAATGCGATAAATAGCGACCACGGGCTTTGCTTTATTCTTCGAGACTCGGGAACCCGCTCGATCCCATACTCCTCGGCTCCAATGCCTCGGATCCATTGACGAGATTTCTCCCAGGAGGATGATCCGTCCACCGTGCCTTCTGTGGTTGAGCTTGATTCAACATCGGGGCAATGGACTTTTGGTATATCCACGGTAGCGTTTGTCTCTTTGCGGTTCTCCATGTTGGCGGTGCGGGGACGAGGGGGACTCTAGAAGGATTTCGTTGATCCGCGCTAGAAAACGATGAGGGCGCCGGTGGTAATGGGTTCGGGAGAAAGACGCCTTCTTATAGGATCGGAGTCTGACACATTGTCTTGGTTTTTGCTACTCAAGACTCAAGAGTGTGTGAAACAGGGTGTCACCAGAAACGCCTCCTTTATCAGCCAACCGTCCCTTGGCATGATTATCAAACCCAAGCCATGCGAGGCTATCTTTGGCCATACCTATCACCAACTTGGTCTCGATAGTCAATACTGGGCAGTCAAAATCCATATCCCACATTCGAGTTGATATCCAAACGTCAGGATCTAACCCCATATTTTACTAATATCTGTCGCACTACATCCCCTTCGCCATCCGATCCTAGCTCCAAGGCTATTAAGTACGATTCTTCGATCGATTAGCGAAAGACTTGAAGTCACATATCTTCGGTCTCTATCCCACCGTATTGTCCGTTATTCTACTTCCGCTCGCCAAAGCCAGAATCAAGGCGTCGAAATCATGACTCGATCATTTGTTGGAACTCCTCAACGGCACGATATTATTTTCTGTCTACAAAAGCCACTTCAACAGACCTCAAGCAACGCAGCTGCTGGTTCTAGCAGGCCTTTCTTTTGACAAAACCTACTGCAACAAACATAAGTTTGAGACAATTGTTCCGAAAGGTTCATCATAGACCAGTAAGGCTGTCAACCTTTTTAGCCACCTGATTGGGTCCATAACGACCGAACGGATAATAAGAATCACAGTCATCCAAGATGTTCGTAAGTTTATGCTCTATTCAGGACACAATCCGTCGTGTGGGGGCTGGGGAGATGGAAAATCAGGCTGGCACGCTTAGTAGGGACAAGTGTGCGTACTCCAGTTGCTTGATGAAGGGCTACACCCGGCATGAGGTTCAGTGTGCGTTACAAGACAAAGAAATGTTCCTGCTGATAACGTGGTGGTGTGTACCTCTCCCTTACGGTAAGATCCTCGAACTCGAAAACCAGTTGACTAAACATAGGCTAGATGTGGGCAGCACTGTGCAAAGGGTAAGTTATCCATATTCAAATTCACACTTGTCTGACTTTATACATGAGAAAAAGACATTCGTTTCTTTCAAACATAGTTCATGGGCTCGTTTATCCCAGTGATGTGATTGTGTCACAGCATGGATACTGAGACTCGTCGAAATGTCTTTGGTAGTTACTTGTAGACAGTTAATATCAATACAGCATCTTTGCCTTAACTTAAGGATGAATCCCTTAGTATATTCAATAAATACAAACAAACCAGTCTCCAACATTAGCCCAGCAATTTCAAGCACGATCGTCCCATTGCCATCTCACCCCAAGGTCAAAATGACTCAAAGGTCCAATATACTCGTTGGAAGCCGACGATATATGAAAAAAAAAAGAAAGGGAAAAAAAGAATGCTTCTGCTCGGAGTCGAACCGAGGACCTCTCCGTGGCTCCCGTAACGTACCCCTTCTCTATCCTACCATACCCATGCTCTATCCATACCTCTTGAGATATGGAAAGACTCGTGGGTAGCTAGTCACTCTGCAGAGTGAGTACATCACGGGAAGGCAGCATCGGAGCGCGCTGGCCACTGCGCCACAGGGGCTATTGTTGAAAGAGATTCCCGGGGAAGTTGTATATAGGGTGTTGGTGAACTGGTTTACCGCTGCCGCCTCTGATGCATGCCGGAACATCTCATTCAGGCTGCCCAACGTTCGATTAAACATGGCTTTCACCTCATACAACGTAAGCCTCCACGGGAACTTGCTATACTGCCGGTCTCGTTGTTGGAATCAACAATTTATTATTGAAGTTTGACTGCAATCGTTAAGCTAGACTTCTCGCAAGACACTGTCACAAATTTTCTCCGTCTTGCAGCTTCAGTGTACGCAGTTCTGTATACGCTGAGCATCATCAACACTTCTACCCCTGCCTCTGATGGTAGCTATGTTCAAGTGAGATTTGCTATCTGGCACCGGGGGGAGAGTTCCCATATCCTTCTTTTCGGAAAGCATGATTCCGGAAGACACAGAAGCGGGACACCGTCCAGCGTCCAAAGTGGGATTTCCTCCTCAGGGATCACGCCTTCATACGCTGGCAATGTCTTGCTCGCTGGGTCGGCTCCGAAAACGAAACCAAAGCATTGCTCTTCATCAACTTCCAATCCACCAGAGAATTCGTCATCTCCCAGAGGCTTGGCACCAAGCGTAATCAGGCCTCTCACGAATGAACGTTGAAGCTTGTATCTCATGGTATCCGGCTTGAGGTTTTGCTTGAATGAGCTTGATACAGCTTCCAATATAGACTCAGGCTTTCCACCCCACACAGCCGTGCATCTGAGGTTTGCGCCCTTTTCGATCAACTTTCGTATTGTAAGAGCATGTCTAATGTTGATGATGCCACGGTTCAATCTGGCCACTAAAAGATGGGGAGTGTTGATTTCAGGTGAATCAAGGTCCAAATCAAGTGCTTCCTTCACTATTGACCGAAGAAGGTGGGAGAGCATGCGACTCAGCCCAGGAGTGTAGTGCGGATGAATGCTATATTCTATCGTCATTATATCCAACAGCACTGCCCAGCGTGCGAGAATAACTTGTCGTTGGCTCAAGGTCAGAGCAGACTGGGTTGGAGAACGGGTACATTTGCATACTGTGAGGCAGTCTTTGAGCATCGCCTTGACTGCGCCTTTCCTGAGCAGGATTTTCAGCATTGAGAATGCCTCATCGTGGAGCAGTCCTCTCTCACAGTCCCATTTTCTCCAGGCATACCAATACAAGGGACGGATGCAGCCTATGGACAACCCTTCAGGACCCCAGAAGAGCGTTTTTCCAAGGGAGGCGCCCTTCTGAAATAGATACTCCAATCCCTGTGATGCCGACAGAGCCCCAGGCTGAGTAGGCTTGGTGCAATCGACAGAAAGAACATAAACATACACGGCATCCACGCCTGTAAGCCACTTAGGGTCTATCAGCCACTCTTCCGTCAAGGCGTCGATAGTTCGTCGCCCAAATGGAAAGCCAATCTCCGTTGTGTCTTTGCTGATGTCTATCTGGGCTTCTAATAGCACATCAATCATTTTCGTGGATCCAGATGAAGCCATCTGGTGAGCAGCAATCAGAACGAGCCATTCTGTTGTCGTACGAGTAAGTTTGGGAATGACTGGGGGGACGAATAGCATCAGGCGAAGCCAGTCATATCCGTAGTATGCGCGTAATAGGAATTCTATCGGATGGTTGCGCCAAGAAGGGACAAAGCTGGCGAGAAATCTGGCGACTGAGATCGATTCTAAGAGAACGGATGCTACTACCGCACTCTTATCTCTCCCGTCTGTGTTTTGCAACAAGCTGAGACGAGGGATGGCGCCCTTAGCCCACCAGTCACTCTCGTCAAGGTCAGCACTTGAACCGACCGGTTCAATTAATAGTCTGTCGATGGATTCCTTGGGGTTTGCCATTTCATCGATCAATCCGTTCTTAATACATTGATACAAGAGCTGCATTCGGTGGGGAGCAAGCAAGAATTTGGACATTGATGGCCATCTCGAGTCACTCAGAATACAGGGATCGACCCGCGCACCATGGTCTAAAAGAAACTGAAAAGTGACTTCATCACCACTCTCAGCAACAAGGGCAAGGGTAGAAACTCTGGTGAGCCTCTTGGTGGGATGATCTCGTAAGGGAAGCCCGAAGTTGGTTGATGCTGAAGGGTCAGCCTCATCAACCTCGATGATACTAGCATCGGCACCGTAAGACAAGGCTTTCCGGATGAGAAGGCGGTCCCTTTGAGAGCAACCCCAAAACATTATTGCGGTGTGCAGGAGATAGAAGTTCAACAATTTGTTGATGGTCTTGTCGCATTGGCTCAGCATCGACAATTCAGTCAATGAAAGATGCGACCAAATCTGTAGGTCGATTTCTGTTGGGAGCTCTTTTATCTTGCAGGCCATTGTGAAGGATTTGATTTTCAAATAGCGCTCTGCGTCAATGTTTCTTATTAGCCCCGTGATGTATGTGTAGCATCAGTTTCGGTGGCGGACGCTTGTTTGATGTAGGATTCTCCGTGTCGTTCATGCGTGTTTTCCAGTCTTTTAGCGCCGACATGTGCTTTATTTATCATCTTTCTTCTTCCAAGTGCTTTCCAGTTCGTGGTTTGATGGCCGGGCCTCTTTGGTCGCTCAGCCAACGAAATCTGGAGGAGGATCATTTCGCGTCCCCAGCGGCGGCATCAACACCTTACAACTCTAATAAAGGAGTCATGCTGCTGACTCACCAAATCCATGCGGTGCCAATTCCAAGCATGTCGCACCAACAGACCGCTTGTTGCTGGAATTGATTAGGTAACGTTCGGCCAAAAAGATGACAGAAGTTGCTGCTTCTGGTATGATAAGCCGACTGGATGTCTGACACTGGCCAGTACCAATGCGAGTTATTCTGACTCACTAACTACTTTTAAGTCTCCCCTAACATGGGGGGATTATAGGTAAGTTGTCTGACTGAAGCAAGCGTTGAATGACCATCAAGCAGACAGTCAGAGCCCAGGGGGATGACACGGGGTCTATTCAAAGTATTGTACGATCCACCTCTTCAGGGATCGAGTGAGAAGATATGATCCCAGCCTGCATAAAACTCAACGAATTAGTATTCGGGAAGAGGCAGCGAGACTCATAAGGAGCAGCTGGCCTACAAGGATCTGCCCTTGCATGGTAGAGCCAAGGAGACGCGTATCAACCATGTATTTCACGAGCCACATGAACTCAGATATTCTCATTGGACTTTCGAATCAACAAGTATCTCTAACACGTAGTGCCCAAAACAAAATAGCCCTGAAGAAAAAAGGTGTAGCCACGGTTGCACTGGCCGCTTTCCTGATCGTGTATTCATAGTTGATGACGGTTGGGTGGACGTTCGCTGAGCTCCTCAATACCTCCGCATTGGAAGTTAATTTCAAGGTAACATACTACTCTCGTTAATGGCTATGCGATGGATTTGTAACGACGAGGGGCTCCACATACACTTTGCATAGCGTGGAGTCCTCGACGATGAAAGACTCATCCTCAGGAACTTCTCTCTCTTTCAAAGCATCATTAACTCACTCTTGGAGAATCTTGGGATCGTAGAGTGGTGTGCCTATGAGACCACTGGCCGGTTCCCCAGGCGGCCAAGAGGAGAGGAGCACCAAGTACTCTACTCGCCACCTCCCTCGTACTGAGCGATTGCTTCGTCAATTTTCATATGTAAACGACCAAACATGATAGCGATCAGCCCCCCAAGTCGACGTTCCAACACTCAGGTCAAACACTTCGCTTGGCCTTGGTGGTGCGGCAAGCTTGTCCACATCCTGAAGCGTCCGGGAGATTTGTTCGAGGATAAGGAGACTAGCATATCCCTTGACTCTGCCCCCATCTAAGCTTAGACTTCTTAGTGGCTTTGGACTCGTAAAAACGGGTTTTGCTTGGCACCTGATGGGGGACAATGCTGTGGCACAGTTCTTCGTCGACGTGTAGATTCGGCTGTACGATTGAGACCAATCTTTGTGCTCTTCCAGCCAGTACGAGGAGTACCTCGTACATGATGAAATGTACTGAGAAGTTGACCTGTGTGCCCAAGCAGGCCAATAATCAGCATCAAGCCATTGTTAACTGCATGATATAGGCTATTTGGGCACGAAGAAGAGGGGTCAAACATCCATCGTGAAACCACCCTGTCCTTCCACCTAACAAGAGAAACATTTCCCGCCGTCGCAAGCAGTAAAAGTGGCTGCTGAATGCCAAGTGAAGTGCAATAGTGAAAGAGTAAAAGAACGGAAAAGTGTCCGACGCAACACAACAGGAACGCTCAGACTGGTCAATCATGTCCGGGGTAGTGGCTGTCCCCCAACATTGATCAAGAAAACACAAAGCCATCCCACGCATCACCGCATCTTCGCCGCCTATTCGAAGACTTAAATAATGACGTCCAAATATGACCATTTGTGAGCGGGGGGCAGCTTGGCAGCTTCTCGGGTATCAACCCTTCCGATATTATATGGGCCACACAGCTGCTGCATGGCCAATGGGAAGATAAAGCTCCCTCACAGCATCTCATGATCGTCAATGGCGAGCGGAACCTCTGTCCCGCTGTGGAGCAAAGTGTGGTTCTGATTCAGATAGCACCATCTCATTCGTTTCCCTTCCCGCCATCAGATTCATGCCCCGGCGTACCGGTGGCCATCCTGACGAGCAGAGCGTCTCCTCTCACCGTAGGCGCTGGCGGCGGGCGCGACATGCAGAGCCAGCGTTCCACGGCTGCAGGCGAGCGTTCGTTGTGACTGGTCTCTCGTGGTCCGATGCGCAGACGCCCACCGCTCAACTCGGACGAGCCTACGTATCGACACTGTGGCTTGCAGAAATATTCACCCGTGCCGCGTACAATGACGGACGATGTCTCGGAAAATTGTTGAGCGCGGGGAAAGCGAGAAAGGACGTGACGAGTCTGCGAGGGATAGTTCGAATGCCCCGGGTATAAAATCTGTTCCCGAATTGTTGGCTGATTCTGACCTCTGTGCATCTTACACGTCCTCATAACACTTGCATAAAGACACGGAGCAAAAAATGGCCTCAAAATCGTTGTTCAAGCTGCCTTCGATTGCCTTCGGGCTATTGACTTGCCTCCGGAATGCTCATGGAGCCGCTCTAGAGTCTCGGGACCCCCAGGACGACGTCGAACAGGGCTCTTGGCCTTCTCCTCGTTGTCAACTCACAGGGCCCATCTATCCTAAGAATGATGGACTTCCCTCCGCGGGAGATGTCTTCGACGGCCCATCGGCGTTCGCTAAGCAGCTCGATCGCCACCGGGATATAGTTGGGGTCGATTCCATCTGCTACGATGACCTCGGACCGATTGGTGAAGATGAGCGCTGGGAGAGCTTTGATGAGCTCCATGGAGTCCTCAAACGCTCGTATCCGCTCATGTAAGCATATAAATCGTAGATCGATGTCATGCTTCCTTGACTCACCTTTCATGCAGGCACGACGACAACTATGTCCAGTTTGACACGGTCAACACCTACGGCCTGGTCTATACAATCCAGGGCCAGAGTGAGGAGCTAGCGCCCATTCTACTGACAGCTCATCAAGATGTCGTCCCCGTGGGCGATGAAGCGGACTGGACCTATCCACCATTTTCCGCCGAGTATGACGAGAAAACAGGTTGGCTGTCCGGCCGAGGCGCTGTATGTGGTCACTAGTCTTATGTCCACCTCACTTGATACATGAAAATCGCTGATACTGGACGTCTCACTTAGGCAGATGACAAGAACCGCCTAACGGCACTCATGTCAGTCTTCGAAGAGCTCTTGACAGCCCACTGGCGACCGCAGCGTGACTTCGTCCTTGCCCTTGGCTTTGATGAGGAGTGCTCTGGTTTCCGCGGCGCACAGAATATTGACGATATGCTTGTGGAAAAATACGGCAAAGGCGGATTTGGAGTCGTTATCGATGAAGGCGGCCTCGACATGATCGATGTGAATTTCGGCCGTGATCCGCCGGTCCGGTATGCGCTCCCAGCAGTGACAGAAAAAGGTGTCGTCAATATCTGGCTCGACCTGGAAGTACAGGGCGGCCACAGCGGCACTCCCAAACCGCACACGGGCATCGGCATCATGTCGCAGATTGTCGCGGCCCTGGAAAGCAACCCATACCAGCCCGAGATCGAGTGGAACAGTCCCGCCCACAAGAGCCTGCAATGCCTCGCGCGCTACTCTCCCAACGCGTTCCCATCCATCACGTACCTGGTTGATCATGGAAATCTGTACAAGCTCGCCGAGGTAATTGCATCCATGGATTTCTCTGCGGCGGCTCTGCTTCAGACCACGCAGGCGGTGGACGTCATTCACGGCGGCGACAAGATCAACTCGCTCCCGGGGCAGACCACCGTTGGCATCAACTACCGTGTTGCGCCCCAGGACAGCGTGGTGGAGATCCAGCATAATGTCGTCAAGTATATAAGCAGGATCGTCGAAAACTTCGGGCTGGGTCTCAACGCTTATGAGGGCGATGATGAGTACCATTACTATGCTGCTTCAGTTGGCGGCGGGGACCATCACCACAAGAAGCCGCGCCGCGACATCGACTATGGGGGCACCTTGACCATCAGAGCGGAAAACAAATTCGGGAGTGCACCTGTGTCGCCCACCGACGATGAAGCATGGCGGATTTTTGCAGGTACCATTGAAGCCACCTTTAAACAGCCTGGCATTACCGTTGTCCCAACGGGAGTCATCATGAGGGCCAGCACAGATTCCAAGCATTACTTAGGTAAAGTCCCCTGACCCTTACTCGCCCTGTGTTCTCAAGTCCGGATGTTGTTGACAGCGGGTTTGCCATACTAGATCTGTCAAGAAATATTTACCGCTGGAACCCCCACTCCGCGTTCGATGTTAAGAATATCCACGGTGTGGACGAGGGCCTCAAGATGAGTGCCCATATCGGTGTCGCCAAATTCTACTACAACCTTGTTCGTAACTTTGACCAGGCCGGAGGTATTCGGCTCAAATCATCTCAGCAACAGCAGGAGCTCTAAGGTGATCGATGATTGGGCTGCTGGAGGGGTGCCTTGTAGCCTCGGATATGGGAAGAGGGCCGGGTGTCAAGACAAATATGGAAATACAGGCTAAAGTGTAGCTCGGTCCGGTTGATTGCTCACCAAAGTAGCTTGTTCCTGACCGTCTCATACGGGAGTATCAGGCGTATCGTAGCTTAATATGGTACCGTTGTTGTGCCCACGTGCGTGAAGATAAGAGCGATGCAATGGAAAAATAGGCCCCTTGTCTGCTTAATCTTGATGGGGCCGGTGATGCCAAGCTTGCTTCCCCGCATCACCGCATACGATGTTGCCCAACGTCTCGTTGCTCCCCGACGAAGAGAAATGCTCCCCGGGATGACAGATACCATTCAAAATCTTGGCAACCATCCAGGGTGTGCACGGATGGCAATAAGCTAATCGCCGACCATCGTATGAGCTCATCCCTCCTCTATGGGTTGCAATGCGCGACGGATTTGGAGATAACCTCACTTTCGGATGACACCGGACTTTGGGCTCGGGTTTTATGTGTTTTCGGAGTTAGTCGACCCCACTCCTTATTAATCATGACATCGGCTGCACCAGAGTTGATGCATCATTCCATGGCCGAGAGATATAAAGTTCGTGGCGTGATTATATATTCCTGAGGGTCCGTCCTCCTTGCTTTTGCCGAAACGATTGAACCATTAGCGTAAGTCGAATCCAACCAGGAGCAATCTCGACCACAATCACCCTGCAACATGTCTGTCTCCGTCGCACTTCCGTTCGCACCGCCCGCTAAGACGCCCCTGGGACGGCATCGACTTCTCTCGCCCAAGGCATCCATCCGCGTCAGTCCCCTGTGCCTCGGCGGCATGAGCTTCGGTACTGCGTGGAAAGATTTCAGTATGTATCAAGCAATGGTGATGTCATTTGCCAGTGAGCGAAGACTGACCATCACACAGTGGGCGCATGCGACCAAGACACCACAGAGAAGATCCTCGACTTCTTTTACGAGAATGGAGGCAACTTCGTTGACACCTCGTGCAATTACCAATTCGGCGAGTCTGAGCAGTGGATCGGCGAGTGGATGAAGAAGCGCGGCGTACGCGACGAAATAGTCATCGCCACCAAATTCACCACCAATCTCCGCTCAGGTGAGGGTGACAAGAAGATCATTTCCAACTTCCAGGGCAATGGACCCAAGAGCTTGCGTCTGGCTGTCGAGTCCAGCTTGAAGAATCTGCAGACCGACTATATCGACCTGGTTTGTTACCAATTCCCCGTGTTGTCGGAGTTGCACCGCTAATGTTGTTGGCAGCTTTACGTGCACTGGTGGGATTACTCCAGCTCCATCCCCGAGTTGATGCAGGCATTGAACCACTTCGTCGCCTCCGGCAAAGTTCTCAGCCTGGGTATCAGTGACAGCCCGGCTTGGGTAGTGAGCAAGGCTAATGAGTACGCGCGAAACCACGGCCTGGCCCAGTTCTGCGTCTACCAGGGACGATGGAGCGCCTCGCGACGAGACTTCGAGCGGGAGATTATCCCCATGTGCCAGGATGAGGGGATGGGCCTGATTCCGTGGGGTGCCTTGGGGGGAGGTACTTTTAAGACCGAGGAACAGCGTCAAAAGGCTAGCAAGGAGGGTCGACAGGTGCAGGCGCGAGAGCTTGATATCCAGGTCAGCAAGGCCCTCGAGGTGGTGGCCAAGAGAAAGAACACTCTGATCACCAGTGTGGCACAAGCATATGTGTCCAGCAAGGTCCCCTATGTCTTCCCTCTGGTGGGTTGCCGTACCGTCGAGCATCTCAAGGGGAACATTGATGCACTGAGCATCCGGCTGAGCGATGAAGATATCAAGGAGATTGAGGAGGCATCGCCGTTTGAGGTTGGCTTCCCGCATGATTTCCTTTTCCGCAATGGGCTGCCTAAGACAGTACAGGACGTCGTCTTGTTGGGTATGGGGGGCTCGTTTGACTATGTTCCCGAGCCAAAGTCCATCGCTCGGGAGTAAGTGCAAGCAAAACGCAAGTGGTGATAACTACCTAGGTAGCGGCATATATATATTGGCGGTGAGAAACTGTTGATGCGATATGAGTTCCATCATGTGATGCGCGTTCAAAATGCCGGTATAGTCCGAATATAGTTTTGCAACTGGACAAGCAGAAACTATTCCGTTTGTGTTCATCTGGGCCCTTGCTCTTTCCAGGATTCTCCCGGACTGGCCTTCATTGTGGGCAATTGTTGAATAAAGATCTCGTAAATCTTGATTCCTGAGGCCGAGAAAGGAAAGCTATTGTAGTCAGGATACTTTCAGGGGTGCCAGGTTTGAGCCCGGCCATGTACCACAGAGCAGACCTGCTTTTCCTTGTGTGGATCTGTTGTAGGTGGAACGATCGATTCTAGTGGTAATGGTGGTCTCAAACCTCCACGACCAGAGGTTCCTCTCCTCGACTTTCTCTCCAGTGATTCGTTATTGTGATCAATTCACCACAACCTTCGAGCAAGAACCCCCATTTCCGAATGAAGCCCTCGCTCACTTCCCATCCGAACGCAGACCACGGCTCGCCCCAGACCAGCCAACCACGATGGTCGAGGCTATCGAAACCCTCGTACAGGTTCTTCCCCATATCGTAGTTGAGCTCTCGACTGTCGTAAGTGCCTGAGAGGCGAATAAGGTTATCCCGCATCCTTGGAAAGGGGAAAACTTTGATCCAGTACGGGTGCGGTGTAGACTGCTGGAGCTGGGTGGGTTGGAGATTAGGGGGGACGGTCTGAGGTGGGAACAGACTAAGAGGGATAAATGCTCGTGAACCGTTACACTCGTCAGGGAGGCAGTCGAGAAGATGAAGGATGGCCATATTCATCAACCCCGCCCGGTGACAATTGTATTGGATCATGGTGATTAAGCGGTGGTCTGGGCAAAGAGGGAAAGCAATTTGTATCGGACCTTGCTTGAGCCGCTCATTAGTTGTGTATGGTACCAAGCCAGGTACAACTATTTCCCTTGTTGGCTTGCTGGTGAAAGCTGGATAGCTGTCGAAAGAATGGTAAGTGATCCCACTAGGGGGTATCAACTCCGAGGAAACATCGACATCGGGGGGCGGGCCAGATCTGGGTTTTCTTGCCGTTACTAGGAGACCGTAACCGATCCAGGAATCACCGAGAGCTTCCGGTTCGCTCGACCTGTCCTCAGTAGCCTTTTTCTTGTCACCTTGTGTGTAGGTCAGTGGATCGGTCCCGGTGTATGTAGTGTGGGGATGGGGAGGCTCAGTCAAGTACGCCAGATTCTCTGCCGGAGACGATTCTGCCGTTTCCGCCTTTCGATGGGGTCTGAAATCCCACGCCAATCATCTTCACGTGTCGTGATCTAGCCACAACAATCGAGTCAGTCCACAAACAGCGATCTAGGCTTGGCTTTGAGCAGTCCCCATTCGCCATACATACCATATTAAGCGAGTGTTGGGTTAGCATTCTCCCCTTTTCGAGTCTTGGTAGGGTAGTTTTCGTTGGATTAGGAAATTGATTCCAATGATAAATCGTGAGGAATTAGGAGTATGATGCGGAAGGAGGTGGTCGAGCCGGAAGAGTCGTCAGAGAGTGCACTGCTCTAGACTAGATTAGGTCAGCATGGCCACCGCGGAAGAAGGCCGGGCCGTCTGACAGCAGGAAATAGCGACCGGCTATTGGACACTGATCCACTGATCCACTGACACTTATGCAAGGTCGTTACGCGCTAAGAATGAATCGGGATGGCCGACCCACCCTGCCCCATGTCCTCTTGTTTGATTGGTCCCAAGTGTAGCATAACCTAGAGCGTTGTTTATCTAAACCTCCTCCTGGCAAGTAACTTCACAATGCGCACACAGTAACACGAGGTATGTTACTATCAGCTAAGAATTTGGCGCCGTTAACTCTCAACGGGTGACTGAGCCCAGATTTCTAGCCAAAGATCCATCATAGATGCTCATCATCTACCCTTCTTCGACTCTCCCGAACAGCCCATCTCAGTCGTTGTCGGTCGCCTCTCGTGTCAACCAAGACTTTTGGAAAAAGAACCACTTCTTCAACAAGTACATCTTGTCCATGCCCGGAGGGTACTCCCAGTCTCACTGAGCTTGACTCTCCCCATCTCAGCTCTAAATATTTGTCTTGATCAGATTGCTAACCATTCTGCTACACGATACAGTCGTGGGAAAGCATCTTCGTAGGATTACGGAACCTTACCAAGCACGATGATAATCAACTGCACTCCGCCGACCTGTATCAGATTCCACCCGATGCCTTGCAACTTCTGGCACACTTCTAGCTTCTTCTCCACGATAATACCCACCGATCTACCCTTTCCCGGCTCGTACCGCTCATCAAGCAAAGTGCCTACTCAATTGCACTATGGGGCCCTTCTCCTCCAGGATAAGAAGCCCACCGAGGTTGTCAAGCATGGTGAGACAGCAGGTGGGGAAGAAGACAAAGAAGATGGGGTGTGAAGGTGAAGCGTCTGGTTGGAACCACCTCCTTCTTTTAAAACTTGCAGGACTTACCTTAACTCATTACTGGTATTATGGGAGCGACCAACGTATCAAATCATACACGCCATCTGTATTCCCCGCGGCTAGAGTAGAACGCGGTCGTTCAAAAGTTGAAGAAGTCCGACATATCCCTGGGAAGTGATTATCTCGCTGTTGTACAGGAATGACAACGTGAGGCCGCTGGCTCGAGGTCAAAACATCCTCTCCGAGGGAGGCGAGGGTTTTGCTTGCCTCCAAGGCAAGACTTCAGGCACCCAAAGCAGGGCATACTGGGCTGCTTGCCGCGAATGCGCTCTGTTTCTGTGTGTTAGAATTTCATTAAAGCATAGATTGTGAGGAACGTACTCTTGGTGGGGCTGTTGGCCGCCTTGAGACACACGAATATAAAGCCCCGTTTGAGGGTGACCAGCGCTCTCATGACGAAGAAGGCACCGTTACGCGCCCTTACGACCTTATATTTGGAGAAATCACCGAAGATGGACTCAACTACCAGAATGTTCGTCTCAGCTGACGAAAAGATGTTGCAGATCATTAACTGACGTCGTGCAGGTCGGTTGGCTTGGAACATCTACCCTCATGATCAAGGCTCAGATTGGTCTCGGTGTTCTGTCGATTCCTCAAACGTTCGATGTTCTAGATATTGTACCTGGCGGCAGGATTCCTAGCCTAGCACCATCGCAGTCAATATCTACCTAATCTCAATCCTCTCCACTTTCCAAGCCCGAGGCAGGCTGTTTATTGTCATGATTCCTTCCAAGTACACATGACTCATGAGCCGATAGTGACCATTCTGCCTCTCTAGTAAATAAGGAACGTATGCCCCTCCGAGTATAGCCACAAGCTGGCCACGTTTCACAGTTTCAGCTGGTGCGCGGCCGAAGAAACCCTTCTTCGTCACGAAAAAACTGTCCTCTATCCCCTGGAAAGAGTCATTCCTTTGAAATTGTTTTGAAAAGACAACGTTGAAAAGCTTGGTGTCCCTCCCCTGAGTAATTAGCAGAACGGCTGCCATAATCCAGGAGTTGAAAGACTGGGGGAGCCCGCCTCTAATACTCCCTCCTTCCTTTTCCAGCGTGGGCAACATATACAGAATAGCAAGAAAGAGACGATAGCCTGGCGACTCCGGGGCCTTGAAACGCTTCTTGAATATTGCCGTAAGAGTTGACCACATCGCTTCAATGTTCAACAGGCTGTTGGAAAGAGGACATTGATCGTCATCTTTCACATTACGGATTACTTTCGCAACGAGGGGCGGGATATCGTCAAACTCTCGTAAAAGTTGGGTTGCTTCGGCCCTGCTACCTCGCGAAAGAGTAGTCGTCGCGGAATCATCGATTAGTCCGGCAGCGTATTCTCCGAAAAGACTTTTGTCGTGTTCTTTCAGCCACTGTTCAAGCCTCTTAACAAGCTCAAACTCCTCATGATCACCGCTGAAGGAGAAGGTTGTGTCCACCGTGTCCACCAAATGGCCGTCAACAAACAAGCTGCGTTCATGAATGACGGGATTTCCGCGCAGGCATTGACTAAACTCAGCACTGGCAAACTCAACAGCCTCTTCGCAAGGCTGCATCGTCCACTCGGGTACCCAAGAGGGGAGAGAGACCATTGATCTTCGACTCATTAGAGTCATGCATGACCACAAGTAGAGGTCTTTCCGTAGTCGAATTATGTGACAACTCGTTTCGTAGAAAACATCTTCAGTTGGCTTGTTATAGTCCGGCACAATCTCTGCACATAGTGACCGGGGGTGGACGAGTCCAAGAGCAGCGTAGACTTTGTCGCGTGGATCGGTTTGGTTTGAATAACTGAAACTGTTCAAGACAATGCCCAAGTCAAGACACTTCGAGTTCGGCTCGTTCCTGTTTCGGTATCGTACTCGAGCATCCCGAACAAAGGGAATGAGAGGCGCTATGTTGTCTGCCCCGGGGTTTCTGAAGCGTTGAAACAGTAACCTAATTCTACCCTCGTAGGCCATCCGAAAAATATCCCAATGCAGTTTGAATGAACCACACACAACGTGAACCATCTCGGCAACAGCAACTTCCTGGATGATCCAAGACCGCCCGAAGTAAGAGTCGTAAAATAATCGGTCGATAGCATCCCAAACCGTTTGATCATGAAATCTGAAAATGGCGTCGTCATCAAGCTCAGGATGTCGTCTGATTGTCTGCCAGAGGACGGAATCTCGATCATGAGAGAGGAACGTATAGTCCTGCTGACTTTTAATAATGGACCCTTGCTTCGGGCGCTGAGCAATGGTTGTCGCTGTTATATCAGCTATCTTCTTTGTGCCTGGTATTCCAGTGGGATGGCGTTCGATCCCAACCAAGCTCAGGTATGGGAAAATCTGAAATGCTTCTTTGAACCCCGGGAAATCGGGCCCGAGCCAGGTGAGAACAGATTTGGCGGAGGCATAAATCTCGCCCATGAGAGGAATTTGCTTCGATTTCTCCTCCAGATTGTTTTGATCTATACAGACTGCGTCCACCCAGAGAACTCTGGGGTGAGAGGGAAGCCGTAAGGCGCGGAGTGCCGATACTAGATTGCGTGTGGCAGGAAGAGAGGCACCGTTGCAGGTTATACTGGTGCTGCCTTCGGCTTGCTTCCACTCGTAAGAGAGAGCTTCAAACTTAAGTGACATGCTGAGCCTTACATGTCGCAAACGACATATAACCGGATCACCAGCTTGGCCGGCATCCAAGGTCATGAGCCGAATCTGGCGATTGTTGACAATTTTAGCGTACATGGTGCTTGCTAGTCGAGTATCACAATGTTGAAAGCTGGGGGAGGTAGAAGCTCACGTTAAAAAAACACGGGGAGATGGGTGCGTCCATCGAAATCTCAGGATGGATTCCAGCCTGACAGCCCAGCCGCTGCAACATCGAGAGGGGTTTGAGCCTACCAGTCCGCCTTGGGTACAGGCTGAGAACCAGGCTGCTGCTGCTGCCTGAACATGCACGAGTTACGATTATTTGCGCCTTAGAAGAGCGGCCCAGTTCGCCGACTGAGCTGTAAGGCAGCTCGCGCCTGTAACCCGAAAAGGTGAGATTTGCCCATGAGGTTGATTGCTGAGCACAACGACCCACAAAACATCTGCCCAGTCTGAATCATGAATCACATCAAGGCGCTTGTCTGTTATCACCAATAATGACAGGCCGGCCAATTGTTCAAGGGGACATAAATTTCACTAGGATAGACCGTTGCTTCCATATTTATTACATATTTCTCTCTGTCTCTCAGAAGCAACGACCACTTCGAACGCGCGGATCATTCCATCGTAGAGCTTGTCTACAGCTTCAGGCGAGCCGTCGGTCCCTGTCCAAATTACACCATCCCGTAGGGGAAATAGAATTTGCCGGAGATTTTCGGCGAGCGGCTTAAGGGGGTGGAATTCGGGAGTAAATTCCTCCAGGATGCTCTGAAAGCTATCCTGATCCATGTCAAGAGACTTGCGTACCGCAAGCTCGTTCCACTCGCCATTGCTCCATTTTCGAAGCTTGCTTGTCTCTGGGGGATTCTCCGTGTGGTTCGTTATGACTGTCCATAGGAAAGCGTAAAAGAAGGACTCGAGGTCGTGCCGGTAAGTATGGCATTCGCCCTTCAGAACGCCAATGGCCATAAATGGTCTGGTGCCGGTAATTCCAAAGTCTGTGTCTAATCCCTCGGCGATCTCTATTGCGGAGTCGAGGTCTATCAGGATCCCCTTCGGCTTCCCTTCATCCTGGCCATCCAGAATGATCATGTTCCCTGGGGATATATCTTGGTGAAGAATCTTGGCATCATAACAGAGTGATTGGTGACACTTGATAGTATCACGAAATACTTGCAGTAATTCTGTTAGAGACTGAAAAGTGTGAAGGGGTCGACCGAGAGGAGAAGTAACGATGCAGGCCAAGATACGATTTTGAAAGAAGTTGTCAGTTTCTTCTGTGTGTTCGGCAAGTCCGTCGGCGTTCGACGTGACTTCCTGTGGTTGGTCTTCGATACTTCCATGTTTCTCGCGAGAGTGCGTCCTGGTGAATTTTCTGTGTGTCCCCCAACGGAGACCTCGACGCAGGTTTGCTGTATTTTCAATTTCTTTGTAATAATCAAGGGAGACGGCACCCCATACACACTTCTTCTTGGCTAGCCTGAGCAGCTCGTCTTCCGGACGCTCCCTGGCCCAACGCCATTTGAACTTCAAGACGTAATCCCATTGATTCGAATCGGGCATTCTAGCCCGGTAGCAAGTCGTCCCGTTGCCAACAAGGCCTTCACGGGACGCAATTGGCTGGCTTTCGAGATAGAGCCTCCCCAAAGAGGGCATCGCCACACTATCAAGAGTAATGTAGCTGCCGCCCTTATCCGCCTCAATGATGTTGATATTCCCCAGGTCCTGGTTCGTCATCCGTTGGTAGCTGAGAATAATCGAGAGAAATTGGACGAAGTCTTTTCGAACATCGAATACGTCGCTACAATATAGGCCAGATCGATCAAAGACCCAAAGTTCGATTAGTGAACCGCGAATGTAGAAGGCATGCAAGAAGAGCCGCGTAGGCTGACTGGCGAAGACCTGGTGTGCAGACCGACAGAGGCGTAATAGTCCCACCTGATAATCAACGCAACCATCATCGTAAAACTGGCCAATGACCTGAACATGGTCCCATCTCGTCTGTATGTCGGAGGCCGGCAAAGTGGGAATGGTCAAGAGGAGACGCGCACCGTTGTCAGCACTTTCGTGCTCGGGTGCTACACTCTCGTTAGATATATGCCATGAGCCTCGAGCACCGTCAAGCTCCCGCGATACATAGTTGGAAAACCACTGAAGGAAATTGTCGGGTGATGGGGCAGCTAATGGAACGGCACAGCGGCTGCTCGCTCTTCCAGCTGCCTGGATTTCCAATAACGCATCCTGGCGGACATATTGAAAGTTGTCGAAGTGTTTTTTGATAAATCCATTCATGGGGCCGTGCATGCGGCCATCTATGTTGTCAAGGATTTCTTCATCGTCTGTCTCGGAGGCTGGTGGAGCTGGCGGATGATTTACCACCGGGTGAGTCTCCATCGCCGATGGAACACGCTGCGTAGTGCGAATGGTGGTGGATGGTTGAGATTTAGGTCAAGGGCTTCCAGGTCCGCTTGAGTAGCAAGCTCACGAGCTGACTCGATATTTGTTGCGTGTGAAGTTAATAGGACCAGTCTCTTATGGTGAAATTTTCGACGTTGAAGTTATGCTTTGATGGGAAAGAGTGTGACTTTAGAGGGGGAAGGCAAGCGTGAATTGGACTTGACTTGGAATTGGATGTGGGTAGCTGCCCATAAACGCGCTAGATGACCAGCCGCCTCCACTCAACTGTGGCTTAACCCAATCATAGCGGTACTCGTTGTGCTTCAGCCACAGTTGAGGTGTCATTCAGCCAACCAAGTGTGGTTGTCGGATAGTGGTATCCATAAAAACTCTTCGTTGGTGGCCTGGTGAGCGTTTCCTCCATACACCAGTGGGCAAATTGAGGTACGGTTGGAGCCTGACCGCAGTCAAGGGATACGTGCCGATCCGACCCACAATTGGTCTCGAAGGCGGTCTCGCTTTACCTGTTGGTAGTCATATTCTTATTTGATTGGCGTGTTGGCATTCTTTGAATCGGCCCTTCTCGTCTTGTGTTGTGCCGATATTGGTGTTCCCATGTTGGTGTTCCTGCCATCGGTACGTGTTGATTCGTAGTCGATGAGGGCAATGGGGGTAAGACTGGGGCATGGCTATGGTGATGGGCGGCTAACAAATCCGCCTTGCCTTGAACCCCTCAAAGCGGCAACCTGTGATTCAATTCCGTGGATCAAGTTACCACCAATGTATGGTGTCCAAGTGGTACGTAAACGTCGCGCCGAGTTGGTCTACAGGAGGCTGTACAAGTCGAGGCGCATTGTCTCATCAAGTACTGCTCTGGGGCCCAGGCGAACAGCCCACGCCTGCTCTACTTCCAACTTCCAACTGACTGAGAGGTGAAGTGACAGAGGCGGGACGATTCTTTCAATGCTCGCCACCTTGCGTTTCCCCTTGGCTACCTTTCTTTAATTTATCGAAAGGACCAACAGACCAACAGACCAACAGACCAACATGGAAAAGCCTACGCATGACATCATGACTAGCTCAGAACACTAACTCAGGATATGCCTTAGATTCGGTCTATAAAAGGAGAGATAGCTGCTCTATCTCCTCGGTGTGAACTCACCCCAGATCCCATAAACTGTTTCTTTATTCTCTTGAGTTGCCAACTTTGATTACATAACTATTGTCACTTGAGCACTTGTCCTCTAGTAATACAATGGCCTCCCTCATCGATACCTTCGTGCCTTCTAGCACTTACAACACGCTGCCCTTAATCAGCCAAGTTGCTGGGGCACCCGAGGATCACTCCCAAGATCTTCAAGACCTCCGCGAGTTGTTGAACAAGCACAATGTTCCCAAGGGCGTCAGTGTCCGATTGATCCACAAGCACTTTGACACCACAGATGGCGAAGTCATGGTTTTTGACAAGATTCCAGTCGCGGGACATGGAGTCGTTCAGATCATGAAGCCTATTGTGCCTCCAAACAGTAACCAACTCCGAGGCATCCATTATTTTGTCGATGACAATGCGTCCCTTCAAGCCTACGAGTATGGCAACTACGAGGTACCCGAGATGTGTGGTTTTGAGTCGTTCCTAGCCGAGTTCTGTAGTCTCGTTTCCGCGCGAGGTCTACAGCGCAAATTCGGGCTCAAGCTTCAGCACGAGGATGATACGGATCAGATGGGGTGGACCGAATACGAACTCCACGCGAAGCGTGGCACCATCATGTTCCCGGATGGTATGCCCATGCCTGATGGGGATAGTGACTACAGTGTCACCACAGAGTGGAAAGCAATTTTTAATGAACTTCCGAGAACGTGCAAGCATACTACGACCTGTAGGCACGGGCGGACCACGTGCAAACACTGCAAACACTGCAACAGCCACGATGAGAGTCATGCCAACTGCGGTGACGAGACCGGTTTCTGCTTGGGCGGGCAGAAGATTCTACCAGGAACTCCGGTCCACGATATCGTGAATCAAATTATTGCCGTGTTTTAGCTTGCAAGGAACAACTCGGCTGCCTCATCGCCCGAGAATTCTTGGATGGTCATAGAAAGGATCTGTTTGTGCTGGGACGTGGACAGTCGGAGAGTCATGCGAGCGATTTCGAGTCTCTTTTCGTTTGTTGCATCCAAGAACAAGTTTTCTTTTTTCTGGCATCTTCATGATTGAGGTTCATACCGACATTTATCATCTGGTTACAAATTGACGTCCTTTTGTGCTTCAAGGAGGGTTTGCTGCATAGAGTTTTATAGCCTCTCGTCCTCTTTCTTCCACCTTCCCCACTTCGGGAAGACATATTTTCATAGCCTAGGTATTTATCTAAAGGACTGAATATTTATATTATTCCATAAAGCAATATTCTGCAGCCTTGTGGGAGTTATCTTCTTCCGTAATAATGCTAAGTTTTATCCTAGCTAGTCCCTCGGTATTTATCTAATTCTATTTATTAAATCATAACATAGCTTTCTCATTTTAAGGCTATTGTATTAGAAAAACGACGGGAAAACATCGGCAATATGAAATCCAATCTGGCTGCTGCCTGGGAAACATCAAATGACACGAGCAAGTCTACTCTGCGCAACCACACCGAAGAGCCGAATTGTGTCATCTCTACCGATACCTGAGGCTGCTCAATGCTTCTCAAGACATCGCAAGTCACTGAAGGCGTAATAGCAACATGCTATCATCAGAGTGAAGGTAGAGTACTTTGCACACGAACAAATAATTCGCTGCCTGACACGAATAGAACAGAGCACCGTCGTTAGACTTCGAAGCCGTATCGCCCACTGCGAAGGCACGAGTGAACTAATGCCTAAATAAACACGAGGCGCACTTTTCTGAAGATGGTAAACGCATTAACGATTGCAAATCCGCGATTTCTCACGCAGAAACGGCCCTGCAGATTGATAGTTTCTTGGAACCGACACTTCTGTGTTTCCCGCCTCGGATCAAGGGTTCATGAAATTGATGAACCTATCGAAGAAGAGCTGCTTCCAAGCGATCGACTGAGATGCTTCCATCCGACTCATCCTGGTGAGATACTAGATGGCAGGTTCAAGACGATTGCTAAGCTCGGTTTTGGCGGTGGTTCTACTGTTTGGCTGGCTGAGAATCTCAAATTGTAAGCTTTCCCTCTCAGCCTTTCTGTTAAATCCCCCTTTCTAACTTTCATATCAGCAAAAGGTGGGAGAAATCCTTCATGTTGATTCCTTGTTTCGTTAGTATAAAAATTGCGGCTCTCGATACGGATGCATCTGGGGAGACGAGGTATTCAAAGATTATCACTCACGCCAAACGCTCACACGACGGCCTCGCATTCATACGGACGCCTATCGATGAGTTTCAGTTAGAAGGACCGGAAGGAACACACCTCTGTCTCGTGTATGTGCCAATGAGGGAGACTCTTTTTCGTCTTCAGCACCGATTGCAGCGGCAAAGACTAGCGCCACCCTTGTTCAAGTTTTACATCTACTGTCTCCTTCACGCTCTGGATTATTTGCACACTGAGTGCCATCTCATCCATACAGGTAAGGGGTTGAAGAACCTCTATTGACCTTGCCGCTAACCCTAACCCTCCAGATATCAAGGACAATAATATCATGATGACAATTGAAAATGACGTTGTCTTGGCCGACTACGTCAATTGCCAATCAAAAGCCCCCCAGTCTAGGCATATCCGAAGGGAGGATGGCCGTGTGACCTACCTCTCACAAGACGACTTTGGACCTTTGCGGGGCTCCCGGCTGCTACCAGAGCTGGCTGATTTCAATCTCTGTTTTCCCGGACTTGATGGTGGCGTCGGCCATCTTTCTGCCATCCAATCTCACCGCTTCCGGGCCCCAGAGGTGCTGCTCGGCTGTCCCTGGTCATACAGTGCTGACATCTGGAACTTCGGCCTTCTCGTAAGTAAAATCTCCCTGGCGTGTATTTCGTACTGTGACCTCCTAGTTCACAATATTTCTATAAATAGATGTGGAATCTGCTGGAAGACATCAGCCTGTTCGACCGGCCTGCTGGCGAGGACGGCGAATACGATGCACACGTCCACCTTGCACAGATGATTTCTCTCCTGGGAGATCCGCCAGAGGAACTGATCAAGAGGGAGCGAATCTTTCGTACACACATGCTCAAGAGGCCGGTCCTGAACCCACGCGGCAAGCAGTGCAAGACCATGAACGAGTTTTGGGGCGGTCCTTTTTTCGACGACGATGGTAAGTCACATAACGAAGTATTGGAAAGCTTTCAACGTTACAGATGGGAAGAATTTACGCGTTGCCCTACACCAGACAAAATTCTTCGGAAGGACTTGCTTAGAGAAGGGAGGAAGTTGGCAGACACGGTGACGGAACTAGTTGGCGATGAGAAAGAGGCATTTCTCGATTTTGCTTCTGGCATGCTCCAGTGGTTGCCCGAGAAGAGGAAGACTGCCAAGGAGCTATTGGAACATCCCCTCCTCGAAACGCTTCACAAAGATCGCGAACAGAATATGTAACTACCACTCCTAGTTCATATAGTCTTGTTCGTATTGCAAGAGGCGAGTCAACGACATAATCGATGGAAATCCCAACATGAAGACTCTATGATGTCAAGTAATGCTAAGGAGAAAGGGAGGCGGTGTGTGAGAGGATGCGACAACACCGGCAATCGTTATAGGGGGGTTACTATCCTGTCAGGACGCAGTGACAATTTCGACAAGTCACCAGGTATTCCAGCGAAACACCCGATATTGGAGCCATGGCGCTTAAGAGTGTAATTTAAGTGGGAAGGTAAGTGTGAATTGGAATTGGAATTGGGTAGTGCAGCCTGCCTATGGAAAAGCTGTGATATCAAAGGGGCTCGTGCTGACATGCTCTGTGGTTAGGTGCTTTGTGATCAGATGCTTTGCTTTGTGATTCAATGCTTCGTGATTAGATAGCGCGTTTCGATGTTGACACAAACACACCAACCAAACGCTCATAACAACACTCCTACTCACTCACCCACTAAAAGTCAAACACGCCGGAACCGAATACCGACAAACAAACCTTACCATATCCTTGCCATATTTACTACTTTCGACGATACCATGAACCCGTCAACGATCGATCGTATGCCTTTGTTGCTCAAGCTGCCGGTGGAAGTCAGGAATGAAATCTACCGCTGGGCCATCGACTCTGTAATTGAGCCACCTCCATCACCAGCCCTAGAACAGGAAAATCGCCAGCCTCTGCGATATCGAAACTATCTGTCTTCTGCCATTATTCCGCAACCAATCCCTGAAAATCGCCAAGGTAATCACACTCGCGGTGTCTGGTATCGTTCGACAAATCCTGCCCTGTCTCTCCTCCAGGTCAACAAACAAGTCAATGAAGAAGTCACGCGATTCCTCCAGCACCTACGCACCGCCGACTACTCTGTCGATATCGTGTATGTCAAGGGCTCAGGAATTTGGCCAACTTGGTCTGTCCCGGCTCGGCCAAAAACGCCCTACATCAACTCAGTCTACGCAATCTTAAGAACCTCAGATCAGCCCGCAGCTCTGCGAGATCGTTTCCGAGACGAATCAGGAATCGGCTCTGGGTGGAATTGCAATAATGTCTTTCTAACTTACTTCGACGGCCTACTTTCAACGCTGTTCAATCGTGGACCGGGGTTTCTAGACCGCAGCCGCAGTCATCATGAAGATGACGCCAAGGTCGCTCCCACATATGTCGTCAATCACATCATCATTGACGTGGTTTCGCTCACTAATTCTTCAAGCCAAAACAACATGCTAGCGGGCGATGAGCAATCCCAGAGCAGCAATGACCGGCGGACCCATTTGCAAGGAAATGAAGAGAGCCCGGTATCACCTGAGGAACGGCTGGGGGCGTGCATGACAGGGCTCCTAGAACGGATCCTGGGCCTGGGCCCTTCAGCGTACCTACCACACATCGGAATGATGGTGTACGAACAGATTATTGGTTCCTTTATTTTCATGGTGAACGGGAAAGAAGTCTGGACGATCGATGTCGAAGAAAGGCTGCAGCACTGGGGAGCTTGTCGTCTAGCCCACGAGGCGCCAGCAAAAATGCAGAAGTACCAGGAATGGAAGCATTGGGTGGATGGAAGGCGAGCGAGAATGAAGGAAGGTCTTGATTTGGATAACACAAGGCCTGCTACCAACAACATCTGGAGTCGCCGTTCGACATGAACGCTATGAAGCTCGTTTCTAAAATGCACACAGGCAAAATCTCTCAAAGTTCTTCATTCCGGTGTCATACTGGGCGTGTAACGACCTGTGATAGATGGACTCTTGTTTATTGGGCTCTGTATACGAGAGTCATGGGTTTCTTCTAACGAGGGGCAAGGATTTTAGAAAATGCAAAGCCACAAACTCCGCGAAGGAGGTATAGCAACAAGACTGTTGGTCTGTCGTTTGAGCAACCCTTCTGCATACTATTTCTCGTCGGATTTCGATCTTCTAAGTCTTATAGATAGAACATTTATTGTACTTTCCATGTTACTATGCTGCATTACTCTTCATCTTCCTCATATCTGGTGCCGTTCAATCATATACAATACATGTTCGCGCATGAATCGATTCAATCCTCGCTGCCCATCACTGCGGGCAGCACCCTGCGCATGGCCCGGCCTCGTGACCTGTACTTTGGTCCTGCATTTGTATCGGTCCAGAATTCCGACTCTGATAGAGCCCCCCGGAAATTGTATATCACCATCGTCTGCACATCCTCCGGCTTAATCGTTCCTTCTTTGACGATATATCCATTTGCATCTCGATACACGAGTCCCAGCTCCCCTTCCTGAAAGGCTTGCTGGTCTGCCACGAGCAGCCAAGGGCCCACGCTGGCAGCTTCCATGATAATGTCTTCAAAATCATCTTCCTCCGGTTCCCGCTCTCTCCCCTCCCAGATCTCAGTCGCCGTGTCCCTGACGTCTTGAATTTCCTTCGGGCCAAATACGCGGTGACTGAGAGGAGCAGCGAACTCGGGGAATATCCCGTACAGGCTCTGCCAATCCTCCGTCCCCATGTCAAAAAGCTCCACGTCGTCGAGAATCTGCCACGATCTCTCGTCAGGACCACGAAACATCTCGTCGTAGGGATCGGCTTCTTTGAGCCACTGCCTCAGTGTCTCATCATCCTCTACGCCCCCGCCATAGTATGTGCGCAGAACGACAAACTCGCTGAAGAGGCCTTTTGCGTGCGTCATATAGCTTTTTGCGATGACGCGCAGTTTCTGCGAGCGCCAGGGGACGAGGACCGACCGAATCAGCTCCTGCACATCGTCGTCGGCCAATTCTGCCTCGGGCAATGGCGCGTGGTCCACGTCATCCTCTTTGATGAATGCCTGGATCAATTCACTTCGCTGTTCTTCGATCGAGAATGGTGAGGATTTGTCCCATTTTTGCTGGTGATAGGTGAGCCAAGAGTGGCCTTTCTCGCGCCCTTGATCGAATTCTGACTCCTACTCACCAATATGTACTTCTCAACTGGAAGCGCGCCCCAGGCAATTATGTCGCTCTCTGAAGTTTGGGTTTGACTCATGGCGAGGTTGTTTGCTGAAGGTGAGTTACTTGAGGTGAGTTTGCTGACCGAATTCACGCTTTGCGTCCACGACAGGTTCTTGGCCCCGTGCTCGTGCTCGTATACGAGGAAATCCGACGCCAGCGGGGCATGAATTAGCGCATTTCGTTTCTTTCTCACTCTCACTCTCGAACCTGTCTATCAGTAAAGTAGGGAATAAATCCTACGTCAGCATCTCAAAGTAGTTACATATACCTGTTCACAGTCGTTGATACCTGTGCAAAGCTCAGTGCGCTGCTGTTCAGGCAACTCTTAGAAGTGCTTTGGTAACTTCCACATAGAACCACAGCGAACAAAGCCCCATATCGCTTCCAAATATGTTGCGGTAATCCAGGCAGGGCTACGAGGCCCCTGGGGGTGATATCTTTCCTCCACTTGTTCCATTATCCAGTTTATGGGGCCCTGATATCAGCGCTGCCTCTTGATCTCGTCAGCGACAGGTGTCCAAAGGGTCAATATACAAGAGAGGGGCATCAAGCTGGAGTCGAGTCGAGTTTTCTACGGCATCAGTTGGATTTAGCCTAACGACTCACCACACGTCTAAATAGGCTAGCATGGAAAAGAAGCATAATCAATAAGAATCGCCCATGTTGGGAAAAGAGCTGCGGCTGAGCCCAAGACATGACGGTGGCGTCAAGTAGCGCGCTGCAACCCGTCAGCTGCCACCAGTCCAAACGATGAGAGTGACACTGCCTATCCTTGAAGCGGGAAGCCAAGAACGCCATGCTGCAAGTTTGATGAAACTAGCGAAAAATTGACCCTGGGTATCGGGCTGTTGAGGGTGTTGACTCAAACCCTCAAGTTCCTGCATTAATAAAGAGTAGAGCGGCATTTCTTGACCAGCCCTGTCCCTCCATTAACCATCGATCAAGCCTTCATGGGATACCGAATGCCCCATCAGCAAGCGAACGATGGAGAAAACCGGTATCATCACACGATTGCGACGATTAGGCATTTCATCGCTCTTGGCTCTGGTCTCTGGGGGAGCTATTCTAACCCTGGTGGCCGTGAACGGTCTTGTCTCACCAGATGGCGCCTTCGATAATCCTGCAAAAAACGAGCAGGAGTCTCGCTTCTATTTCGGTGCCAATTACCACCTACAAGTGTGGTTAGCCATCGTCGGCGTCGCCTTCGGGCTGCTCTCCTACGGCTTTGGAGAAGCATATGTCCACCTGTTCGACTGGTGGTGCAGTCGCCAGGCAATGAAGGATGCCGGTCTCGACTATGGCCGCTATCTCAACTCTCAACCGCGAGCGCCAGTTCTGTACGGACTGAGAGGCTTCCCGGCCTTTACGACTCTCCGTTACTTCATCCTTCTGGTCTCAGTTGCTGCCTCCATTGGCTACAAGTTTGGCATCATCAACGTGACCACTTTCGCCTATGATCAAGTCGAACCCCGTCTGGTGGAGCTACAACTACCACCAATTAAGGGATTGGGGGCTGATGGGACTCCCAGCCCGTGGTTCAGTGACGCGCCTTTAGGGTCGAATAATCAAGCCTTCCAGCATGAGATCGTTTATTCCAACCGAAGCGCTCCATCCTCATATACGGAAGCAGCCAGGATGGAGCCACCGCTGAGCATTGTCATGACCGGGTGGGCCAGCTGCTACAGTATATTATTCAACCGGGTTGATTCGGGATACATCTATTCGAGGGAAGTCGTCATGGTGGCCAATCTAACAGAAGAGGAGGGCGAGTTCTCCATGGGAGCCAACGACAAAGGCTGGATGAGGCAGAGGACATCGTCATGGCGCTGGTTCAGCGACCCTTCCTGGCCAGCAGTGGTGGAATATCGAATCGTGAAGCCAGGACAGATTCAAATCCAGTGGGCGAGACTCGGGCCGTGGTACAGCGACCCCACATCGACCGTCCGCGCAAAGGTGCAACGCCGCCTCACGTACAACATCCGATATGCTGTCGCCGAAGTCAGTCGCATCGTATCCGGCAGTTCGTGCTCCCGATTGAGCGACTCGAGGGGCGAAATCGACTTGGTCCGCATCTTCTCCGTGGACAGTGAGGTTCCGCAGACCGAGCACAGTGATGGCTCGCTACCACTGTTTCGTAATTGGGTAGATGCCATCGTCTACAGCGAGGAAGCAACGATATGTGAGGGCGTGGGGGCGTTTGTCCGTGCAGTGATGGCAGGATGGGCGTCTGAAGGTCTAGATGTGATCGGGGGTCGCAAAATCCGTCATCTTCGCAACGATGAGGAGCCTTTTGGCACAGAAGACCGGGCGGTTGGCTGGCGCTCGAGGTTTGCTAACTTCATGGACTATCCGTTCTATGCTGGCACTAGAACTGGTGAATATAGAGGATGTCGTACCGATGCTGCCATCATATTCCTGATTCTGGGCGTTCTGGCGATGGCCGTAGCCGCCACTCGCGCCTTTGTCGGCCCTCCAGTACTGACATCTTGGACGGCGCAGCATGTATATCTTGTCAGGGCGGGAGCTTTGTCCCTCGAAGAGAAGATTGAGGAGTTGGAAACTGGGTACAAGGCCGCCAACGTTCGCCTCGGCAGGTTGAGGCTGGAAACAGAAACGAATGAGGATGCGAAGCCCTTGACTTCGGAATATCGCAAAGTTGATTTTTGAAGAATCACTACCAACAATAGGTAGCTTTCTGTCGTCGCTCTTGGGGCTAAAGTTACAGCGTGACCAAGGCCTAAGTTATAGCGCTCCTCGTGTGTGCACGATCTGGCTGTCCAATTGACCTCATGAATTAGCTGCTGCTCGCGGTGACCTCGTTATATGCTTAGGCCCTAAGAGCGCTATAACTTAGGCCCTAGGAGCGCCACAAGAAATACAGTGTATATAACAGAACTAACCGTGTAGCTATTACTGTGCTCAGAAGATATTTTTGGCCACTGAGTTGTCGGTCGGGCAGGTGCGATCTCACACCATGAGCCATTTGTCCCAGCTTCCTTACCAAATCCTCTCAAGACAACGAAAGACGGCCATGAGTAACCGATCGTCCCCGGGTCTAACAGACCTCATTTCATCATACGCCATCTTACCGACCTTAGCGACATGGGTATCAACAGTGGATCTTTACCACCTCGCACTCACAAACCGCGTCCACCACTCGCACATTCTGGGCTCGCCAACATTGTTCAAGAAGCTCCGGAGCTTCTGCCTCTGCGACGGCCGCGGCCTCATCAAGCGCCAGAACTTCCAAAGTCCGTATCGCAGCATCCCGCGGGCAGGAGAGTGGACAAGAAACTCGCACCTGACAAGCGACGAGGAGATTGAAGTGAAGTTGTACAACGCCAAATGCGACGAGGGCGGCGCTCTCCCCTGCGTCAAGTGTGGGATCAATATATGTGAGGAGTGCAGATACTATCGCCGTGCCAAACCGTCCTACCAGACCAGACGCCCGCACCTCGACAACGCGCGCCAGATCAGTAACATCATGTGTCTGTGTCCGAATTGCGATTCTGCAGTAGAGGAAGAAGCCAAGGGGCAGTTTCTCTATGAGTTATGCAACTGCGACCCCTGGGCAAGATGGATCTGCACCCGCTGCAAAACAGAGGAGTCTGTCTTTGACGCCGAGTACTTCGGAAATCACACCCTGAAAGAATTCCACTGGGAAGATCTGGGGACGGGAGAGAACGAGGATCCCGGCAGGCGTAATCGGGAGAGAGGTACTGCACATGGTGACGGAGAGGGAGAGTCCAGCGACCTCGACGAGCAGGAGGACTCCGGCAGTGATGATTGGGATAGGCCATCTATGACCATCATCGACCACGCATTTGAGGTAGCGGTAAGATCTTGCCCTCTGACTCACTTTCTCGAGCGTAATACTTTGGTGCCTATTTTAATAACATGGTGATCAGTTTTGGTGTATATGCGGCAAAGCCCTTGAAGACAACAACCCGATCAGATGCACTTGGTGTAGGAGACGACATCTCCCAGAAGATCATTAGTACGACGATGGGAGGGACGGCATGCCTTTTTTTGACAATGTAATTCGCGGCAACCCCAACAGAGATTTTAGCTTCTGCTAACCATGCAAAGGATCCAGATTATCCCAACTGGACTCAGGACGGCAACGGCCACTACCCGAACCCATATCCGAAACTAGGCTACACCCACGAAGGAGATGACATTCAGGAAACATCCGTCTGAGCACGGTACAGAGATCACACAAACTGGTATTTATTGTTGCCATTATAGGGTAGCTATGTCCTACGATGTGGAGATTACTAGGTGAGTGTTGGTAGAGTCATGTTAGACTCTGGTATATTATATTCCAGGCTGGTGAAATCCTGCTTGAAACTGAACAGAGTAGACAGGCCGGTATACTGCACCCTATGAATCAGATGATTTGCCATCAGCCAACTAAGAAAGACAATTTCAAGGACGACGCATACCATTGTCATCTCGAGTTGTGAAGGATTGCTTAGTCAAACCAACCCCTGGACAAAAGTGTTGCGATCCACCTGGTCGACGATGACTCAAGCGATTCACGCTCATCCAGCCCCATGAGAGAAGCCGGGCAGAGAGGCACACGCTACGTTGCTGAAAGGGAGACCCCTAAAGTAGCATTCTCACACCGTGAGGCCCGAGAGTGTGCTTCCTTCCTTCGGCGTCTCGCCCCGAGCCAATCACCTGTGAACCCATCATGCCCGGGCCAAGGTCAAAAGGCTGTGCAATATGCAAGATCCGGAAAATAAAAGTGATTCAGCCTCCGCTCTTGTTCCTGACGAGCAGTCACTAATTGCTTTGCAAGAATAGTGTGACCAACAGTGGCCGACGTGTTCACGATGTCGACGGAAAGGGGCAACATGCCCTGGACCAGCACCGTTTGTCAGGCACAGTGCTACAGACCGCAAGCCGAATTCCGCAGATGGCAAGATCCGCCTCAACACGCCCCAGCCTGCGCCTAGCACTCTTGCCGATCATGTTGCGGCACAGCTTGTCCGTCATCTGAAGACAGCCCCAGATCGCGGCATCGTCATCCAGACCAGGTATCTCAAGGACCTGCCCAAGCGCCTATCCCAGCACCCAAGCCTGAGAGACACTGTCAGCCTGTTTTACACGGTCTGGGCCGATCATTGCCGTCGAAAACCTGCCGTTGATTTCATTAACCTGCCAGAATACGGCAAGGCTATCCGAAGTCTTCGTCTAGCCTTGTCGGGTGACCAGGCCTTCACGACCGAGACACTCGCATCTGCAACGATTCTCCATCGCGCAGAAGAGGTGTTCAATCCTAGCCGCCATAAGTTACTCCATCAGCAAGGAATCGCGAGCTTGGTGACAGCAGTCGGCAAGCCTAGGCTGAATGACGATTTTCAGGCAACACTCATGGCTGAAATATATATTAATATGGTATGATTGCTTCGGTTTATCTCCTCCTGTCGTTACTTAACTCTTTGCTGCCGCGTAATTTCACCTATAGAATTGTCTACGTTTTGCATTATCACTGACCAGCGAACTGTATCTAGGTTCCACATTCAGTTGCAACCGGTTGGCAGAATAATCTGAACGAGCCCGATTGGAGAGATTCTATCGAGAAAAGCCTATCGTACTGCATACAGAACGAAGAGGCAAGATCGCAGTTCAAGTCAACCATGCGTACGTGCGGAGACATGGTGGATAGACTCCCAACGTTAGTCCAGATGATCCGGACTTCCGGTCCTGGTGTTGGCCAGGACGAAAGGAAAACAGCATTGAAGAAGGAATTTCAGCAGACGATCATGGATATGCAAAAAAGAATCGCCGCATTGGTGAGAGAGCTCATCCAGCTGGGAGAGATAACAGAAGACAAGGACCCAAAATCGATTGCGGGCACAAGCTACAGCTTCTCGAGTGTGACCCTCGCCCAAATATTGCTCTCTATGCAAAGTCTCCATCTGGGATTCTCCAGAATGCTCTATGACTGGAGCCTAGCGGAACAGTTTCCAGATACAAACGCCAGTACCAGAATCTGAAAGAGCTCTGTGTTCATATTTGGAAGCACATCAAGTTCCTCCGCACTCTCGAACCATTCGTGGCAGCTGCGACGCCCCGCGGGCTCTATATGACGCTGGAGCTTGCAGATCCAGAACAGAAGAGTCACCTACTGGACCTGTTTGCAGAGATAAACTGCTTCTTGAGAAGACTCTCTTCTGATCGAGAAGAGATGGAGAGCCAAATTCTAACAGAAGTTAGACTTTTAACGGGTCGTAAACCCTAGAAGCTACATAATTTCAAGTCTAGTATAAATGGCACTACAAATACGTTAGAACCTTTATCCGGAGTGCGACGACCTCATCGATTTCAAAGCTTGCATTCATATGGTTGTATATGATTCATCATCTACCTACCTAGGAGAAAGAGAATAAAGTTCAACAGCAATGGAAGCTGCTAGAGCCTGACAACTCAACACAATGGATTCATCATCTACACTTCGATAATAGGACACGGAAACATGGAGTGCGTGGTTAAAGTATCATTGCTACTTCTCTGAGCGCAAACAGGTTCTCCAACTCAGCTCCGACTGTTTCGTCAGAATGTGGTGCTCCGAGAGTATTTTCAAACGACCATGATATGCCTCCGAGTACCACTGCGCCGCCGTCCCTATATCTCCTTGTTTTTCCATGACCATAGCGAATCTGTGAAACGTGATATACAGCTCCGGGTGCTGATGACCGAAATGCTTCTTTGAAAACTCCATCGCCGCCTCCAAATCCCCCCTTCCTATCTTTGACTGCATGCCCCTAGCCATAGCAAGGCCTTCTTTCACACGAACCATTCTCAAAGGACACCATGCTTTGTTCTCAAGCTCTTTAAGCTCGTCACAGATGTTCAGGAACCCTGCTTCTGCTTCTTCATAGGCCCCGCAGAAAAACGCTGACAAGGCCATGCCCTCTTGAAACAAGGTACGGTTGGTACAGTTCAGGAGCAGGGCCGACTCGCCCAGAGATGTCAGCCGGTCCATGTCCTTCTTTACCCGGCTGAAGTGAGATGCGGCCGCCTCGTATTGCTCCTGCTCAATCAATGACAAACCCAAACAGAATTCTGCATCAAAGATCAACTGTTCATCGCCGCATTGGCTATTACTGTCATCTGTGCCGGACGCTAGAACGGTAGATATTAGCTTTGATATTGTGTCGTTGGCTGTGACGGCCCTTTGCAGCATGTTGTCGGTGCTGCTGATGACACACCGAAACAAATTGTCTGCTTCATTGTGGCGGCTCAGATTCATCAAGATCAGCGCAACATCATAAACAAAAATGCGAGCCGTAGTTTCAGAAATAGCAGCTTCGTTGCCCGAATTTGCTTTTGATGGGCGAGAGAGATCTCCCAAAGCGGATTCAAGCTCCTTCCAGGCATCCGAATATCGTCCCTGATCTTTCACTGCCATTGCATAGGACAAACGGAGGCCCATCCAGTCTTCCAACTCAATCTTGCCTTTGTAGTCAGTCAGCATCTTCTTGAATCCCTCGGCGGCTTCTGCCAAGAGACCCTTTTCCTGTTTGATGTTGACAACGTTGTGCCGCGCTCGAATCACAGCGGGTGAGTTCTTTCGCTCGACCTTTCTTAGACCATCGTAGGCTGCACGCAGATACGTCTCAGCATCATCGTATTTCCTCTCGTCGACAAGAGCCAGCCCGTAGTTCTCTATGTGGCCGAAGAAATGGGCATTATCCTTTGTGTGTGACATTTCCCAGTGCTTCACCCCCTGTTTATAAGTCTGCACTCCGATAGAGCTCCATGACCTGCTGCAGAGATACGCCGCGACCTGGAAGTTGAGCTCAGCCAGGTAGAAATGTTCCCATGTTTGAAGATCATGGTTTCTTGCGTGACGGGTAAGAGAATTCACAAGAGATGCAAAGCTCTCAGCCAGTTTTTGGTCGTCACTGAAGAGTGACTCTCTTACGAGTGTTATCTCGATCGCGAGGACCAAACTCAAAGTAAAGTGCTTGTGCGACAATTCCTTGTCGGATTTACTGGCCAGAGTACGAATATGATCACGGAACACGTCCGGAATGTGTATCGACCATTCATGGCGTCGTATCAATGACAGTGACGCGTATTGGGATGCCAAGCTGCCCATCGATCCCAACCCAGCCGTAGTAAGGGGAGGGGAGATCTCCCGGAGCTGGACCCTATTTCGCTCAACAGTGCTTGCCCCTGGGCGATGATCTACCAAGGGTTGACTGGGTTTGAACAACTTCAGGAACTTGGATCTCTTCCGCGGTTGCTCACTTTGAAAGGGGCGGTCTACCAAACATCCTAAGAGCAACCTAAGGTCCAGGGAAGTTGTGTGAAGATGAGATAGTACGGCAAGGAACAGAGACTTCTGCCCGTCTTCCTCGAATTTTCTCTGCATCATCCTAAATACTACACCCAATTTCCTATCGTTCTTCATGTATTCGGCCTGGAACGGGATTAATCACAGTCCTGTAGTGGGAGCTCTTCAAACCTACCTGCTCACGACTGTCTCTGAGTACTGCTCGAAGCTCGGTCTTGTTCAGGTTGTCGTTGAGGACCGCGGTTGCGATCAGATTAATGGAAATAGGATACTTAGGCAGCATGGAGAGTATATCGTCCCCCCATTCATCATGTTGTGAACGAGAAACCGACAGAAATAACCTCTTGGAATCCTCCTCTTCGAGATAGTGCACCTCGATAACATTTCCCCTGTTTAGTGAAAGCTTCGCCAACTTGTCCGAGTAGGTTGTGAAAAGCACATGGCCAGTCCCAAGTTCGCCTGTTCTCAAGCGAGGGGACGGGAGACTCAGTGCCTGCTCTACCGTATCCTCAACTACGTCGTCAACGACCAGAAGCCAGCGTCTGCGCATCGTTTGACTCTTGAGCCACTGTGAAAAGACTCCGATGCTCCCACATGCATGTATTTGGTCAATTCGCCCGGCGAATACCGTCGGATCCGATGCCGGGATGTAAAAAATGTCGTCGTATCGATCGCGCCATCTGGAGACGTATTCGTGAACAATTCTCGTCTTCCCAATGCCTTTGAGTCCGTACAGAACGATCCACTGAAAGGCTTTATCAGAAGTTTGTGTAGTCTCTGTCATGGCATCTCCATTCTCTGAGCTCCCCCAAAATCGCTTAGAAATATCCTCCAATACATTGTCTCGACCAAAGAACTTGTCGTTCATCTGGTTGTAGATACATGCCTGGCTCAGCCCATCTATACATTCACAGTCAGCTTCGAGTCTATGCGAGCTTCGCCACTCTCCAGGGAGAAAAAGCCGCAAGTAGTGACCGTAAGGTTACACACCAAGTGCTATGTTTCCGGCTTGCGAGAACTGCTGGCTGACAGAGATTGCCCTCTGTGCAATGCCCTTGATCAGTTGGAGTGCATTCTCATAGTCGCTATCATGTGGGCGAAACTTGACCATCTCCGAATGATTTCGATTGATGGCACAGAGCTGTTCTGGTCCCGGGGCCCAATGTCGACGATGGGTAGCCGATTCCTTGGTCACCAGCACTGTCGGGGGACCGTCCATCTTCCATCGGCCACTGTCATCCTGACATTATTAGTAAAGTCTTTGAAGATCGGAGGAGTTCTCTTACTTGTTGGGCCGTTGGTGACATGAGCGTCTCGTAGAAACCTATGATTTCACGTTTTCCAAGAGCCTTGAAGAAGGCTTCCTCCCGCTTCTCTCGAGTCTTGGGATTGGTGATCCCGAGTGAGTCGATCAACGGTCGGTTTGGCCCATCGCCAGCCATTGGAACAAGTGACTGAATATCCATCCCGCCGTGTGGGACTCCGAAGAAGACCAAGCCGAACACTGCCTGGAAAATTCTGAATTCGTCGGCATTTTCAGATTGCGACACTAACACAAGTAACTATGTTACATTAGCCCTTTTCATCCAAAGGCTACCCGCGTATGAAAACTTTACCTCTTTAGCGAGCAAGCCGCCTAGACTGTGGGCGATAAACACAATAGGCAGTATATTTTTCTCGGTAGCCAGTGCTAGCAGACTCGATCGGAACGTGGTAGCGAGATCTGTAATATTCTGAAAACTTTGACTTTTCGGTACACTTGATTCATAACCGTATATCATAATTCGGGCAAGTGGTTCTTCATTTTGGCCGACGAGATGGTGGGGGAGAGAATCTCGCAACCACATATGCTCACCCCCTCTTTCCTTGAACGAGCCGAAGGCGTGCCCTCCAAGGCCGGACAGTGAAATAAGACTAGGATATTTAGCATTTAACTCCTCAGATTATAACTGTACCCTTACTTGATTTGGTATTCCTCTGGCGCATATAATGTCGTGATGCCATGGAAGTGATCATCAAGCGTTAGCCATAAGCGGTCAGCTTGGTCTGCAGTTGTTGGCAAAGCAATTCGGCTTTTTATTGGTTGTGGCACCCCAATGAACGATACGGTAGCCGTGTTCCAGCGACCGTGGATCTCAATTGCCAGAGACCGGACGCTTGGAGACAAGAAGTCACCCTCCGATTCAAGAACAGATCCCAAGCGATCAACATTCCAGTCAAGCGGGATGCCTTGCACGCGGAAGACTTTTCCTGCACCGGAAACATGACCAGCTCTCACGCCATTGGACATCTTTTAGACTGTCGTGGGAGTCTGTAGACCATGACCACTCCAAGACAACAAACGCCGAAGATGCCTTGAGCGTTCCAGGTTGCAACCCAACGAGTTACTTACTTTGTCTTGGAGTGGGGCAAGTCACAAAGATTGGTTATTAAAGACTCAAATAAGCAAGTGTACAAATGTGGGAAGTAGGCGAGTCAATTTTAATATGGTCAGGGGTGTTGTGTTCAGCCGCACGAATCTGTATCAACCCCTTTCTCGATGTCGCTGCCTAGCAAATCAGGACTAGCATCTCACTCCACAAGGATCCTTCGCTCGGCCGCAAGGGGTCCATCGTGCTGACGGACGTGATAATTAAGGAATGGCTGGTTCCGCAACTGTAACCGAGGCCGTTCTAGTTGAGCCGCACGCCTCGACTATTTCTTAGGGTTTGCTCCATGCTCAAATATCGGTGTGGCTAGTTCCCTGAGCTTAAACTACGCCCTCTCAACTATTATCTCGTCAAGAGCCAATATTGAACCATGAGCTACCAATACGACGGCCCGTCGCAAATGCAGGACGCATATATGCGAGATGACCGTGGTCCACCACCAGATGGCGCCTGTGTAAGTCCGCGTACGGGAGCTTATATCTGTCTACGAAACAATAACTAACCCTGCCGGGCATAACAGTGCTGGAACTACTACGAATTTGGAACACATCGCAACTGCCACCGCGCTTATACTCAAAACAAGCCCATGTATGCTGCCCGCCAGCAGCCAAATCGCCAAGATGATAACAATCAGGATAACGATGGTGGTGGTTGCAGTTGTTAGCAACGGTCATTTAGAATCCATTCTCACTGTCGCAAACTAGCTCTCTTATTATTCAGCTGTAGCCGATATCTGGCGGGGATAGAGCTGTGATGAAGAATCCCCGGGAGAATTCAGTAAGGTGGAAAAGTTATTTCAGTCAATTAAAACCCTTCTAGGGACGTCCATTCGGAGTTTTGAAACTTGGGTTAGTTATGTAGCTGTAACTCCCATCCTTCTCTGCACCCAGGGACCACATAAATGTAACAAAGAGCATTGTGTCACTGCAACGGAGATTGTCCCTGATCCTACCTGACGTTCGAGGCGTCTTGAAGCGAGTATAAGTACAGACTGGGTAAAGTTAGCATATCGCTTCTTTTTAAACAAACGCTTCGTTTACCGAAAGTCGCAGACGTAGTTCATATTTACCAGCACTGGATATCTCGTGCGCCGAGGACTTAGAATTACTCAATGAATATGAAGTCAATGGGCATGGCATGCTCGTTGCCCAGCTCCCCTGACCAATGGTAAGTTAAAGAGAGGACAACACACGGAGGTAAAATAAGCTTAGGCAATGCCATACTGGTCCAACGTCTCCTCAAGAGATCCATTTTCCGTGGAATTGCGCCAGAGTTGTGTAGTGGGAGAGAACTTTACATATTTTCCGGTGGGTTAGCTCCGAAGCCATCAAGCAACAATCTTGGCGTCCTTTGGCATTTGTGGTGGCATATTAAGTACCCTTGAGAGCCGGAGAATGACCTAGTCATCTGACCATTTATTCAATGAGCCTGGAAGATCCCGGCCACGAGGTGAGGGTGAATGGTGAACACTAGGCTCTATCGATGGCTTCTCTACGTAGATTATGGCTCTTTTTGGGAGTGCGAGGCGTGATTATGAAACAGCTATTGCGATCGACGTTGATAGGGCAGTCGAAGTAATAGTAATAAAGTTTTTGGGAGCTCTTTGGGTCTCCTTGTCTACAGCGCTGGTCCATGCGGGTCATCTTCAACGGCTTTTGGCATCCCGACATCCACTGGCTGGCACCTCTGTCAGATACTGATCGATTGCTGCAAGAGCCTTATGAATGTAAGCTGGCATAAAGCTCCTTGCTTATAGCTCGAGCACCTTGCTCATCAACATCAAGAGGGGCACAGCAACTAAGCCCGAGAGCCTCAAACGCATTTTCCTAACCTAGTCGTCCTATAACAACTTGAATCTTAAAAGGTCGAATTGGATATCACATAGAGCCACAAATGGCTTATTTGTCCGAGTAAATTCCGCACCGTTCCCTTTCTCCGCTCGTTATGGTGGAATACGATCCATTTGATTCAGGGGCTTTGGAGATCATCATATAATCTCACCTCTCCTAGATAAGTAGATATCCATATGCAGCGACGAGGACCTGGAGTCTCGATGAACAATGTGTGGTCAACCGGATTTGTCACATGGAGTATGATCAATGAAGTAGAATCAATTAAAAGGCTCACAGATTGCTCGAATTCCTATCTCAATCTCCATTGATGGACTCTCCGACGTAACTGGGAGCCCATGAAGCGTTAAAACATGACCGAGCTCTCGGCTAATGACTCTACCTAGACAACCTCCCTCGCAACAGACCACGCTCACCCCCCAGCTTCGGCACACACCCAAGATCGCGAGTCAGCCACCAATGCCAACTATTAGATGGTTCCAGTACCAGCTTGTTGGAAAGCTTCGTTCAGAAGTATTCCTCTGGTACCTATTATTCACCATATTTCTTGCACTTGCAACCCCGGCACCCCACACCCCGATTTGCTATGCTTTTTTCTGTCCAGTTACATCTTTTGGTGAGGGGGTTGTATTTGCATTCCGTACGACTGCAATCTTTGCACTGTTCAGCTTTTGTTACGTCCTTGGTAGGGTAACATTGCTCTCCGGCACGTTTGCTCAATTTGCCGGGTCTGGCTCTGCGTCCGTAGCCATGTTTGACTCTAACTCTATCCCTAGCAGCCAGTTCTAGGATGTCGGCACCCGAGAAGTCTGATTTTAGAAAGCATGATGTGTTAGAGCCAGTATCTTGTGATGAATTCTTTTCAATTTCACATTCATACGTACCGTCACGCTCGCTCATGAATTCGAGGGAGTCGTTCTCATCGTATGCCCCAGCCAGGCCTAGTTTAGGTAGACCAAAAATGGCGAGGGCAAGAAATAGGATTCGAGGAGAATGCATTGGAAGCGACTTGTTTCAGAGAGTTCTGGATGAATGATTGAGTGGTTATTGTCTTGTTAATTCCAGCTTCGGGATCTGGATCACTTGGAGTTTAAATACACTGGTCTCCGGCATACAGATTGTCCCTTCAATGCTTTCATTCTATATTTGGTTATCGCATAATGCCCAAGTGAGCACCTCGCGTAGTCTGGATATCGAACAAGGGATGATTATGAACCTCAGTCGTATACGCCGTCATCAGGGGATATTTTGAGGGCATACGAGGGCTTGGCTCATACAGGATCTAGCTTTGGCTGGCCACCGTTCCCGTCTAAACTCGCAATATTGTTTGAAGAAACACACGATGGTCTGCGACCCTGTGCAGCTGAGTTGGGTAAAGGCTCGAGGTGAGGTGAGCCAACTCATTTTTTTCACTACGAGTGGCTACTTTGGGCATGCAGCTGAATAGTATTGATTCTCCGTGCGCAAGACTTGACCAATAGGAGGTATCCTTGATCACACCTACCACTGCATCATCACCACTGATTTGCGCGCTGGATAATGTGCTCAAGTAGCTCTTGGGATAGTCAACACACCATGAAACGCACAGACATCATGAGAGGAATAGAATACTCTGAGCGAAAGTACGATTTTCCTATCTTGTACTCAAGTAATACTGCCAGGCAAAAAAAGAAATAGCAATCGCTGTCGGATACACGTAGGGAGGAAGAGTTGACATGGGTCACATCCCACGTAATCAACTCTTTTCCCCCGCATGACACCCTCCTGCCTCAATACAGTTATTCCCTTTTAGGAGTGTAATCCAGCTTGCTTATTTACGTTTGGGGTATAATAGAGACTCGCACTCTACAGAGATGCCCGATGGGCGGTCATCAATGGGCGGTCTTAAAGCCTCAATAAGTGAATGTTCCCTCCCACTGCATTAACCTTGTGGCACTTGGTACAATTATACAACGGCTTCTTTATCAAACTAAAGTGGAAATATGAATCAGATCTTCTCAAGAAGTTCATTCACGCTGGACTTGGAGGAGACGTACTCATAGTGCCGTCAACGCATCTCGAACGGCCTGAACCTATCACATGGTCAAACGGTCATGCTCCGATGTATGTGGTCATGCTACTCTCGTAACCTAATCTATCACAAGAAAAGCAATACTCTTAATCACGCAGATATATCTCGAGATTTCTCAGATCATGGGAAAGGGGGGATGCATGCATTCGCATTGCCTGCAGAGCTCACTGGGCAATATTCATTGGAAGCATTATGATCATACATCAGGCGCCATAATTGCGATGCTCATGTTCCTTCATCTGGTAGATTCTTTCCACTGACCCGCCATCAGCAACTGCTATACGCTTGTTTAATGCGACACGTTTTGCCCCTTTCATTGGATTTTCTCGACTCGGTGTTAAATTGCCGCCCTCCCTTGAGCTCCCACTTTCTCAGATGGACGTCTCAAACCACGACCCGCTCAAAACACACAATCACTACCCCTTCCGGTCAAATATACCATTCGACATCTCATCAGCAATAGACGAGAATATGTCAGGCGTTGTGACATTATCACCCAATGTTACCCGAATTGCATATGTTGTTGCCATGATCGAATCAACCCCCAGGTTTCTTTCCTTGACCACCTTCATGATATTGTACAATAGACCCTCCACGGAATACTGTCGCGAAGCCCGATACACGCATTGAGTGACATCCGCGTGTATGGCTTGTATTATGATATCAACAGCAGGAGGGCCCAGGTACTCAGCGGTATGAGGCTCGGCCGTCCTTATCTCCCCGGTCTCACGGTCAACATACTTGCCGTCGACGACAGGAGTTTTCGCATGCTCGTGCCAGCCAGGGCCATCAATAGCCTTCCAAGAAGCCATGATCAATTGGAAAGACGAGGGGAGGGGGTAGGATGATCTGACGAAAGGAATGGAAGTAGATGACGAAATTTCCGATGCTTGTTTGATGATAATTTGATGGTTGGGAAGAAATGTGATGAAAATAATCGAGTCAGAAGAATCAAGTATTTATTGGCTTTCGACATGTATTGCGGCCGGTAATTCATTAATCCCTAGCAAAAGTACCTATGGGCAAAACCATATGACTTATCCACATGAGACGCGGCCTCCGTCTGCCTAATCAAACAATCCTACCCAAGCGGGTATGACCAACAACACTTCTGCATTTGAACAAACATGCTTCTGGGCACACAAAATCCCTAAACAAGAGAGATGCTGCGATCAAGTACAGCTCTTCGAATAATTCATCATGGACGGAGTCTTTGATAAAAGTTAACAGCATCTATGAGCCGGAGGAGCGTTGTATCAATGTGTAGTAGGTGGACCGACAAACATGGGGGTTTCTTAAGTAAATACCGCCAGATATCATCTTCTGGTGATAGAAGTCGTCTCGAGAACCTGTTTTTGAAGCCCATCGAAAAGCATATTGTATAATAGCTTCAAGTCGCGTTTGCTCTACCTCGCGCTTATGAAGGCAGTAAACAATTCGTGATTACATCCATCCCAAACAGTATTTTGACTACGTACCACTCTTTGCTGTGGGAAAAGTTCTCCTGGATGATTCCTCTCGGTGCTGGCACTACCTCTGCCTTCACAAATTACTTTGTCTTGTAGCTTGTTCTACCCGAAAAGGCAAACATTCTTCGAGTTCACCGCAGCTCATAGCCTGTATTGTCAAAGACAATTAAGTAATAGCGGCAATCGAGGTTACAGTGTACTGACCTTAATCACTAAAGGAAATCCGTCTTTTGTCATGAAAGACCCGGCAAATTCATTTGTCAGGTCACCCGTCGTTCCAAAGGTTTTTCAGTGTAAGAAGAAAATGTAGATATAGTACTTGTATTGGACTCACTCTGGATATACCCGAAAGAAATGCTTCCGCGACTTCATTTGGGATGGCCAGTTTCCCATCACGGGTCTTTCTCTCCGCCATACCGTCCTCTCCAAGAATCTTTATACCCAAGTCTATGTTGTAGGAATTACGAGTTGCAAACACTGCGCAAAGCTGCGAGGACTTAGACTCTACAATCTGGCTACGAATGACCGACAACGCCTTCTCAATACCATAGTTGAAGCTGGAATTTGTCTCCTCCTTGGTTGCCCTGACAGCCTTCCCTTGCCCACCTCTCGCCTTCCGTCTTGATGTAAATCCCTCTAACGTGTTGGAAGCGTCACTAAACTTTTTCTCATCGGCACGGAGTATCTGTAAGTCCAGCAACTGGGGGTATCTCCGGAGATATGCTTGGAACGAGGTGATACTGATCTCCGGCCCATCTAAAGTGCTATGAATCTGCATAAACTCATCAGGCAGGCTATCGATTGCAGGTTGATACCAAGTTTGCTCATCGATAACAACACGAACGTTGCTTTCTCAAGACTTTCTTCCCCTTGATATCAAAGAAATACCGATATGATGTGATGGCTGCTACAATATTTAGCCATGGCAAAAATGCCCGGCAGGCCGAGATCGACTCAGGCACTGAACTTGTTTCTTGCACTTCAATATTCATTACGTCGAGAAGCTGTACTCCTCTGCTATCTCACAGCACCCCCCAGGTATTTAGAATCGTGTCGAGTATCATGCATGGGAAGGTTCTGTGTCTACTATTACACCCTTCAACTCAATTACTATCGGCGGGAATTTGGTCGCGTTACCTGGTCTTCTTGGAAATGTGGTCCGCTGGAAGCAATCCGACTTTGCCTTTGCCTCCAACTACCTCGTATGTGACATTCTACTAGAGCCCGGGCTGCCTGATAAGGTAATCTAGTAGATCCCTGAAGACTGTATCGAAGTCACGAAGACCGTCTTTGCTCATCCAGAGCTCTCTGCTTACACTACGCGCGTAGCACGGCCATCTTCCGGGCGCTCTATGGAGAAATTGGTCAAGGTATTACAGACGGCCGCTACAAATTCTACCCACGCGTTGGGTGAATGGAAACGGAAATTCATTGTGTCACCCTTTTGGCAAGCCATCGGGTATTCTACTTTCTTTTCCTTCATCATTCTAGGAGGCGAAGTAGGCGGCAAAAATGCTCACCTGATTCAGCAGTCAGCTAATATTGATAATACTGTCATTCGTATAGCGTATTGATTTAGTTGAGATGCCGGGTCTGGCATCTTCCATTGTTGTTACACTCGAACTCTCTTCCGATTGTCGGACATTCTGTGCCTAAGACCCCAGGTTTGACTCTAATAAGCCCATCTTAGGCCGGCCATTAACAGGCATTGTTACATGAATCCGACAACCCTGTTTAGCGCTGACTCCAGCAAACCGCTGCTTGATCCACTCGATGTACGGCTGAGATGCCTTAAATGCAGGGTCATGATCTACTGGTAGCCCAGGAACAGGATATAGATCGGCATTGGTATCAAAATAAGAAATACATGTCGTGTTTTCCGGCGAGCGAGAGAGGTTATCTGATGGCAGGATCAATTGAAAAGATGAGGATTCTGTTTATCATCTCTCCACGCCCAATTGTCGAAAGATGCGTCCTCTGCACGTCAGTTCAGAAAGATAAGATTCGGTCTTAATCGATCCGATTACGAGGGTAAGTACGAGGTTCGCCATGCATCATGCACGGTGTCGGGGACGAAAACAGCGGCATGTGACGAGCAGAGTCTTCCCCGCTCGAACAAAGGCGATGGGGTCGAGAGGGAGGGTTGCATTGACCAGCATCTTCTGCTCTGACACGAGGTTCTTGAAAAATCTGACTGGCTATCGGCGAAGAGCCTAGTACCTGGGTCTAGTATCATTTCTGACTTGAAATTATGCTAAATTATCTACTGTAGAAATAACTCGTTCTTCACCTTTAAATACCTATTCAGAACAAAGGTTGGCCCTTGTGAGCAACTCTAAGCCTCATACGGGCACAGCGATTCATACCACCAGTAGCCTTAATCTGAGCCACTTGCGCATTGCGGACGGGTCAAGGTAAACCGGGTCATCTTGACCCGTGAATATTGAATCTAGTTCATGCATTTTCCATCTCCTTTAGCAATCAGCCCACTGGCTGTAATCTCTTGGGGAACTTCTGGCGAGCCAAGACGTTGGATCCTAATCTTTTCGCTGGCTATTGGTAAAAGCGGTGGGGAGAACTCATGCAGCTGTTTCGGTTTATTCAACACTACGATGAATTGAGTAAAGTTAAAAACTGCAATAGGCACTAAGTCGCTAGAGAAATTATTCTTGTTCCCTTTCTGAGGATATCAGCTTACCGTGGCATTACTCATATAGGGTGCCAGCCGGCATGGGAATATTGAAGGCTAGGAGCGCCACATGTAACACACACCAGTTACTCTCTTAGTCCTACTTGCTTAGTATGACAGTGTCATGTGGAATAAACCATCTAGTAGTAAATAGTTCCAGAATTCTGCATTAATGCAATCAATTGTTGTTCGTCCCTCAGCTAGGCCAGTTCATGGATGGATGATGGATATACATGCGGAAATGGTCTTGAGATTGCTGTAGCGTTGGTGGAACTTCGATCAGGACGTTAGAAACGAACAAATCAATTTCAGCACCCCTTCTTTAGCTACCTTAATCTAACTTGTGAGCCTCCAAGTATAATATATTTCTGCAATGGTGTAACCCCGCCTTGTTCTCCTAAGTTACAAATATACGGCTCAACGACTAGCGCAAGCGAGGCTGTCAACGTTACACTCGTTGAGCAACATAAGACTGCAAAGCTTCATGTGCTTACGGGTTGATAGTTGTGGCTTACAAGGTAGAGGCTCCAATTTTCACCAGTGAAGCCGAACTCTTGCAGCCCTATCCTAAGGCAAGGAGCTCGGATTGGTGGTGCCAGAGCGGCATCGCGAACCTCCTCACAAGAAATTCTGAATCCTTGACTACGGCTGACGAGTATCAATACGGTTTATGCGAGCTCTCTAGTTCTCATATCATAGATAGGGAAATTCACGTATATAAAGAGCTCCTATTCCTACGTATTCGATTCCGGTTGTGAGCCAGGCAACAGACAAACCGCAAAGACTTCACTTCCACACATCAGCAGCTTCTTACAAGGGCCATTTGATTCTTCAATCATGCGTTTCTCTCTCAGTATCGTCTCTGCCGTCTTTGGCATGGCTACTCTTTCGAGCGCTATGCCATCCGGTCAGCTCTTGTCTCGAGCGGAGGAGCTCTCCCCAGTTGTTGCCATCACCTCTGAAGGTGAAATCGAGTCCCATGCCAACGCGACTGCGCTTGGGGTCGACATCTTTGGCCCCATCCCCGATGATTATACTAAAGTAGACGACCATATCGTTGCGGACCCGGGTAGCAAGGCCTATGCCTGGATCCGTGCTCGTATCGATGTGGACTGGGACACAGTGTCTGATGATATCAAGGTCGCTGACCTCGCCAACATCGGCGTTGGAATGTGGACCTCCACTGGCTGTACGTTCTTTGCTTCATGCTTCCTCTGAAACTTTCGAGCTGCGCGTTTAAGTCAACGAAGAACCATGGACTAAATTATTTTGCTCTTCACAGGCAGCGGTTCTGTCTCCTACTGGAGCAACATTGAGTACAATCCTTGGTTTTATTGGAACACTGCCAACAACTTCTACTCTGTCGGAACAGACAAGCGTGCATTCAGCTGGAGGGAGCGACTTGATCTCTACCGTCGTGCCGGTACTAACCAGTGCGGTACCTACACTGAATACGTCCCGGGACCCGCGGGACGTAAGTTAACACGTCTCTCCTAAACTGTTTACTTCTATTTCGATTTCTCATGAAAAACTCGTACTAATGATTCGTATTTACAATAGCCGGATGTTGGAACGGCGGCCCATTCAACTGCTTCAGTTTGAAGATCGTCGCCTAAATCCATGTCGTTTGTTCACGGAGTTCGTTCTCCCCGAAGACAGACAGATTTCGAGCACATGAGAAAGCATAATCTACCGTTCCAGATATGCTGAGTTTCAGACCTTGAATTTCCTTCTTGTTTCTTCAAGGACCTTTTTCAACAACAGGTCCCGAAGACATTGAATTTGGAAGTATTTGGCTATATTCTAGACTAAATACAAGCTCTTCAAGAAAGTTTTGCAGTCCCATGACACATGTGATGCGCTCTTTTCTTAGGTAATCTGTAAAGTAATAGTGTTTAAGTCTCACTGAACAACTTATAGCATTCTAGGCTAAAACTGCCGTCTTAAGCAGCGTAGTATTTCTCTTTTTCTCGCGTTGGCAGGGATTGGCACAAAAGTCGCAATCCTACTGGTACTTTGCGCAGCCACCCAAATTAGTAAATGGCCGATATTTTATGTCCCCTCCCCTTGATTAAGTAGTGGGCAGATGAGAATATCCCAGACGAAGTGAGCCGAATGCTTAATATGGCTATCCCCCGCCTTGTTTTTCTGAACTCTCCCCTCTTGTTTCAACCACAAGCGCGTAGAAGATGGTGCGACAGCTTCTTACCAAGGCCCAACTGCGGCGTGCATGTGAGAACACTTATTGGTTTTTTTATGTTATCGTCTATTCAATACCTTTTTATATCCCAATCAAAGTTTTCACCAAGGCCCGGCGTCGCAGGAGGCAGTGGTGGGACGACAAACGGTACGACCAGCGAAGCGCTCAGAAGCTTGCAGAGAAATGCTTTCAATATCGGCCTCCGCAGAGTATTACGACGAGTCAGGGCACCCGTTCCTTTTTCACACGGATACCGCCTGAAATCAGGCGCCGCATTCTTATCGAAGCATTCGGGCGACAAACTATCCATCTTGACCTCACCTTTTGGTGGAAGCCAGGATGGCGAGCCCCTACCTGGGTTTGGTTCAACTGGATATGTCACAGTGACATACCAGGCCAGCTTCACCCATGGAGATGGAAGATGAAGAAAAGCGGAGTTGTCAATTCCAGACCGATATACGAGTCCGGCCCAAGAAACCCGCGGGATTGCCCAAGATCACCCGGAGCAGCAGCGCCCCATTCTGGACGATGCCGTCGTAAGTGTCACGTTGGAGCATCCGGTTGGCTTATGTCTTGTCGACAGGCGTGAGTTTGAGGCCCCTCTAGTCTCATTGTTGAACTGGCTTCTGAAGAGGCAGGAAATTCTAACCAATGGGGTAGGAACATCGAAGGGCTCGAGGTTCTCTACAGCACCAATACCATTTCTATCGACTCCCCGATCCTCCTGAATGGTCTTCAGGATATTCTATCGCCAGAAAAGCTCTCCCTCCTCACGTCTCTCGAAATCACCATCACTCATATACTTCATCCGTCTTACTTCTTCGAGGGCCTTTACAACGACACTCATCTAAAACAGGGATCTATCTTATTCCCATCAATGAAACAGCTACATTTCGTCATTGACCATCATCGGTACCCTGCTTTGTATTGTAACGTTGTCAACTACGCTATATTGTATGCCTTAGTGGGACGGCTAGTGTTTCCGGGAACCGAAGTCATCATTTCTTGCGGCGGCAAGCGAGAATATTTGGCTTATAGCGAACGTCCATATGGCGAATGTGAGTTATGTGTGACCTACTCGTTGAGATTGCTGCTGACTTCAATTTAGGTTGGGAGGCTGAAAACACCTCGTCATATGAAGTTTTTGAATAGAATTGTTAAACCGATCGATAATGGCAGTAGCATTGGCTATATTCCTAAATTTGCAGCAGGTGTCTTCTTCTATTCTCTGTTACCAAAAGCCGTCTACTCGCTACATCTGGATTCCCAACAGAGCATACATCCAACGGAAACGTCGGCAGCGCAGCTCATGATAGGGGTGGTGTTTCCTTTCCTTCCCGCTTCGTCATCTTCTAAAGTTTGGACTTTGCTTCGCCTCGAGCCAATCTCATGTGACTGGCGGTGAATGTGTCATTTGCAATCGCGGCCGCCGTGCTGATGTCCAGGGCCAGGGCAAATGATGCCATCAAACCAGCTAATTTTTCCTTATCTTCTGGTTGATCGCATTGGACCATCCTCAGTGCTTCTCGTTGTGTAGGATTGCCGGTTCCTCCCCCAACAGTCGCGATGAGGATCGAGGGGAAATACAAGCTTAGAGTCAAGACCTTGGTCTCCTCGTCGTACTCTGGCGTGAGGTCGCTCCACGCTGACTCTCCAACGCTGGCAGCGTCCTGTCCTGTGGCAATAAACATGGCTGCCAAGACATTCGTGGTATTTACATTGCTCCCGAACATGCCGTTCCTAATCCCGCCCTTGATGAGAGTCACCACCTGATCGTTGAGACGTTTAGTTGTACACCCAAGGATATCTTGACAGTCCTGGTCTGAGACTGAACCCCACGCTACTGCTTCCACGCCTCTAGCATCTTTGACGTTTCCCCATGAAGGCTTTTTATCTGATGACAAATTTCCTTCCACGACCCAATCTTTGATTGAGTACTTGTCCCCATACAAACTTCTCAGCTGGTCGCAGGCGTGCTTGGTAGCTTTTGAGACCATATTCTGTCCCGAAGCCGCTGCGCAGTGAAAGCTGCAGAAGAGGTGGACTTGGGAGCCAATGATATGAGCTTTTGTCTTTTGGAGTTTTGCATATCGGCTCGTGGAAGCGGCCCATTTGCCAAACTCCCCCTCCAAAGAAGGCCATTCCCGTGCGAATCTGACCGCCGATGCCGGATTCTCGAAGATAAAGACAGGAGCACGGCTCATACCTTGGGACAAGACATCGAACTGGATGCCCCCAGAGGCATTGAAGGCCTTGCACCCACGCGCGCAACTAGCCACAAGGGTAGCTTCTTGCGTTGCCAGCGGAGCATAGAAGGTGCCATCGGCCTTTGGTCCCTTCACCCGGAGTGGCCCGGCAACTCCAAGGGGCACTTTTGTGAAGCCAATGCAGTTCTCGATCTTTATGGGGTCGATCTGGCTGGCGGGGGCCAGAACATGCTCAAGGTTCCATTGGCTTGCGAGTTCTTGGCCCTTCTGGTTCCTTGACGTGCTCATGGTGAAGGGCTGTGCGTGAGATCTGAGTAGCCAAGTTATTACATAGATGCACGTTTGTATAAACCTTGGGATGGCCTGTCATTTTATATACATGTATGGAACAGCGATCTCTCACATGTCGGAATATACCAAGAATGGCAACCATATCTGTCAAGTTTATAGGAGCCACGCACAACCTTGTTCCATGCAGCCGGGACCGCTTCTTTATTCCCCGTTTGTGCCCAAACATGGAAACGTGCGTGGCATGCACCCTGCTTCATGTCCCTGTCTAGACGTTTGATTCGCTTTCTGAACGGCAATTCGGTATCAGGTATCGTGCTTGCCAAGATGCAATACATTGACAGCGAGACTGCCCGACTGCATAATGGAAATCCTTCCCACGTAATATATGCTCAGCATGTCAGCTCTTCCACGTCCAATTGGCTAGCATGGCCATTTCGGCATATGTCAGTCGGGAATAACAGGCTAGCCAAACGGCGCAAGTCTAGCTGAAATAACAATAGTATGCAAGAACATACGGGCCAGCGGAGCCTATATTCAATAACCAAGTATTGATATTCCCAATTTGGGCTATATCCTCCGCGCGTTGGACCCATTGAAGGAACTAGGCGAGCTGAACTTGCCCCCTTGATGCAACGTTATCTACTGGCAGTGATGCGACATATATGTGCTTTAAGCCGCATTTGTTTTTTCTAGATAGGAGATCTTATGGTATGGATTCACCACCTTGTGGATGGGTGGAGTCGGTATTTGGCATTGGTGCGACGGCAGTTGTCATATCTTGGATACGTGTTTGAGCGGCCCGGATACAAGCCCTTTCCCGGTAAGAAGCCTAAACGAAACTGGCAATGATTTTCCAGGCTGGCGTCCTTGCGCAAGCCATCCTTCCGATTATGCGCTTTTCACTCGGCGCATCGGTCTTGTTCCGCGATGGCAACTTGGTCACCTGAAGGCTGGGACATGCAGGGGCACTGTTCAAGTTAGCAATTCGGGGAATAGGGGAGTGGCTGCATGGGGGTTCTCAGATACGGCTATCAAACCTCGGCATAGAGTTTCAGAAACATATGTAATCCGGAAGATACTTCTTATGACAGTTGCCGAATTCGATGGACTCCGGAGCTGATCCCCGGCCAAGGAGCGAATGCCCCCCCACTCCACCTATGTTTGGCTCTGATAACGTCGCAGGAAAGCACCAAATCTTCACCCGTCGTTGTAGCTCATGCTTTCAAATTATTGCTATTGGTGGTCAATTCTAGTTCATTAAGGTTAAGTGAAGAGTTTTTGGAATGTGTAGGCTTGAGCTGTGCTTGTCAGCCAGTTGGCATTTCATGTGTCTCACCAGGAGTCTGAGTCACCAAGCCGCAGTATGCCGCCTGTGTTGGATCAGAACTGCCAATACTTTGCTCAAGGCCAGTAAAATCAATGACCCTCGCTAATGAACTTAAAATCTTAGGAAGGACACATCTTGGCTCTTAAGCAACCCATTTCTTATGCCCTCCAATTGAGAAAACAATGTTGTTGCTTAGCTTGATCTTGGCTAGCAAAATGTGATTAGAAGTACGTTGAGCGCCAAAACATGCTGCATATATTTCCCAAGCTGGAGAAAGATGGAAATACACCAAACATCGCCTTTTCCCGGCGGATACTCCTACAGCTACAATGCCGAATATTGTTGGCGAGCAATGAACGTAGCATTGAACTGGTGTTTGGTGGCACGGTACCGGGTAGGTTGAGACGCGCGGGGTTTCCGGGAGTCATTTGTGGAATCCGGATCCCAGTTTTGGACTCCTATCCGGCAGCTCTCATCCAGCTCAACGTTGTTCCGCATTCGCAGTGCGGAGTAATATAGGCATATCGCCTGAATATTTGAAGAGTGTGAGCTTGATGAATTGACAAAAAAACGAGAAGATGAGTTGATTCCACATGTCTCAACCACTGAGGCATGGATCATTCAGATTGTGACCCTCTGTCGCATTCCGCGGCCGATTCTGCGGTCAGCTTCATAGAGCATCAGGCACCGCCCGAGTCAAGGCAACGCGCTATCGGCGACGTTGCGACGACTTTGGACGCCCTACGGATCCACTGAGGGGCAGTGGAAGAGCTATCATCATAAAGATCAATCATGCCCAGGCCAGAAGATCCCGAACATCTGTCAACTATTTGATTCTTCTCACCTCTCCAAACTCCTACGAAACCCCAGTCCTCACACCCAACCTCACCCACAATGGCATCAGGCGACAGCAGCGACAAGCGCACCGCGGTGAGCACCACGGCGGCGCCCCCTCCCCTCCCCCAGTTCTCCCAGGGCATCAACTACAACGGCCTCCTCTTCTGCAGCGGCTCCGTCGGCATGGACCCCGAGACCAAGACCCTCGTCGAGGGCACCGTCAAGGACCGCGCGCGCCAGTGCCTGCGCAACCTGTCCGCCGTGCTCGAGGCCGGCGGCAGCGGCATCGACCGCGTGCTCAAGGTCAACATCTACCTGACCGACATGGCCAACTTTGCCGCCACCAACGAGGCGTACGACGAGTTCTTCACGCAGGATCCCAAGCCGGTGAGTCCCTCCCCATCCCAAGTGTGAATTCTCTGGATGGTCTCCTAATCTAAGTATAATAGGCGCGTACCTGCGTTGCTGTGCACCAGCTGCCGTTGGGCACTGACATTGAGATTGAGGCGGTTGGAGTCGCGGACAAGGATGTCAAGTCAAAGATCTAAGCGGAGGACAAAAAAAAATCGAGGTAAAGGAACGAACGAGTACATGAGCTTTGAAAAATAAAAGGTCAATTATATATAACTACTGGGCCTAAGGCCACTTCTGAAATGCAAGCAGCCCGAGAGTGATCGACGCCTGACCAACATAGTACAGCACCCAGACGGCATACTGCAGCGGCGCGCGGAACACCGACGACCTCGCGACGAGGAACTTGTCCGCCGCGAGGATGGCGTCCGAGGTGGTGAAGAGGAGCGCGCCCGTGACGATCTGGGCGTTGTCCATGGTCAGCGCGGCGAGGAACATGCCCAGGATGGCGACCGAGTACGCGACGATGTGCACCTGCAGGCCGCGGCCGGCGACGCGGGAGACGAGCATGTAGTTGATGCCCGGGGCGAAGAGGGCCATGGCGGCGGCGAGGCCGGTGCGCCAGGACTCGGAGAGGATCAGGTCTGCGCCGTGGCCGCGGGTGAAGAAGAGGCGGATGTAGAGGATGTGCGAGGAGAGGAAGCAGACGAGGGCGTAGAGGAAGGCCACGTCGCCCTCGTCCCATGCGAGGAGGGCATCGCCGGCGGCACTGAATGCGAGGGCGGCGATGAGTCTTCGGGTCTGCGCGCCGGCGACAGAGGCTGCGAAGGCTGCGAGGAGAGCGGTAGAGGCTGTCTTGGTGATGGTGCGAGGGAGACTGGGCGCGTTGCGTGCGATGACGAGGTAGAGCACCGCGTTGGCGATGGAGAGGCCGAGGATGGCAGCGGGCGTTGGTGGCAGCTGGGTGATGTATTCTACTGCGGCCTCCATGATGACTCGATTGATTTGATTCTGTTGGTGCTGTGGCTGAGGGAAGTTGTTGGGAAGAAGCAGAATTTTACGAGGAGCGCGTCAGATGTGAGGAAGTGAAGGCGTGAAGGGAGGAGACGCGGTGGAGCCGAGGCAAGTGCAATCGGTACGAGACAGAGACATTCATTTCAGCTCTAGCACTAAACTAGGTAAACTAAAGTAAGGACAACACACCACGCTCTCCCATTCGAAATACAAGTTGATGTGAATTGGCTCAATGCTGACAATCAGGGAGATCATGACGATCTACCGGTAGGCTGTTGTTAGGCGCCCAGAGTGGCAGTGCCCAATTTCTCTGCCAACTCATCTACTTGGCCCGACTCCTTGCCTGGGAGCTCCGGCAACAGCGACAGCGCGTTTTCCAAAGTCGCATACTTGCGCGTATACAATTCAGCGTCCTCGTTGAACTGCTTGCGATCCGTCAGATACGTGACGGCAATCTCAGGCACAAGCGGATCCTCCAGCCCCGGATCCGTCAGAACGGACAAGATCCCAAGCATGACGCCCCCGAAATGGAACCACGGAGACCATTCCTTCCCCAGGATATCCAGGCAGATATTCCCATCCGAGTCGATGTTGGGATGGTACATCTTGGTCAAGAACTGGCATTTCGGAGCGTGGAAAGGGTAATTGGATGGTGGCGTGATCAGGACTGAGAAGACCCCTCCTGCATATGGCGACGAAGGCGGCCCCTCGAAGAACCCGAGTATGTTCTGATACGACGAGTCAAGGGCAGTTCCGGTAATCGCAGGGTCTGTGATGAGCAGCTGAGAGAAATGTTTCAAAACGATTTTCGGATGGCGAGCATCGCTGTCTGAAGGGGCCGCCAAAGGGAGGCGACTTCGGTAGTCTTCCAAAGCGCGGCACAGCGGTCGAATGGCTGATCCGTAGGTCTTGACCACATTTGTATCGAAAGCGGGTTCCGGGATCTTCTGGGCCTTTGAGACTAATTCTTTCATCAGCCGCCTGTTTTGAGGCAGCGGATCTGCAGTCTCGTCATCCTCAACGGGCTGCGACGCTTCTTCAGACCCTGACTCTTCGTTAGCGGTCGTATTTGCTGAGGTGCGATCTAGAATTTCATCTCCGAATGCATGGCCGGGTTGAGGACTCTCAGGAAGCCTTATGGTGGTAGCGACCAGTGTCTTTTCGTTCTCTAGGCTTGGCTCTCGCGAATGAGACGCCATCTTGTCGTATTTACCTTTTCTAGTTGATGTTGAAGTAGCGTCCGGATACTTTTTCTTCTTCGTATCAGTAAGAAGCAAGAAAGGAAACGTCGATTGGATGTGCTTCCGTAATTGTCGCACTGCCCAAATATATGCAATTAAGAGGGGCGCAGCAGCCCCCCAGAAGAGTGCCTTGAGATCAGCCGAGTGATCTGCCATCGCTTGCCCCGACGCCGTCTGGATTCACTGATCAATCTGTCGTAGTGAAGTATGTGAGCTGTATGTGAGGGAAGAAAGAAAAAGAAGAAGAAAAAAAACCGGATTAACCCAAATGATTAGAAGGAAACATAGAGACCTTAACAGATATGCTTATTCGTTTTAAAAAAAGGCAGAGTGAAAATGAAAAACTCAAGGGTCATCCAGAAAGCTTAATAAAAGGTTCTCGCCCAGGCCTTGACTGTACAGATGCAACCCCAAAGTTAGCTCACTGTCGTGGCTCACTCACCGAGGAGCCATGGGCCTGATCGTGAAGCCTTCATTTCAACCATCGGAGTCTTGGCAATTTATTGATGTTGAAAAGAATTGATTAAATTTCCCCTTCAAGTAACGTAGTGAACGACGGTGCAAACTTCTTTTCAAAATAAACACAGGTGATTAAGCCTTCCCTGAGTTGAACCTCATCAAGGAACACGCCACCGCCGAACATGTAGTAAATTAGTAAATGGATTCTCGCCACTAAAGCCAAGACAGAGTCGAACGCCTGCCGATGCCACGAAAAAAACGGAAGTTCAACCTGAAAAGTTCGGAGTGCGCCGTTACCGCCATTCCATCTGTAGCAATAAAGACTGCTGCTCCAGCTGGCTTCTCAACTCTTCACGAGTTCTGGACTCTTTCTTGCCATGGCTGTCCAAGTTCTCGAATATACTTAGAATATAGTCCTTCTGTTCTTGGTTTGCTGCTTCAAAGCTGATGGCAAGAGAGCTTTGTAGATGTCGTAGGAGGAACAGCCAAGCCTTCTGCATAAAAGGCACAAACTTCCATATTCTGATGCAGGCGTCTTGGAATACCTTGTACAAGTCAGGCGCGTCTGGAAGTTGAAATGAAGCATTCCACTGATAACGAAGACGCAAAATATAAATGTGAAAGGAGAGATAAGAGACCAATGACTGGGCCAGGTGGGTCGAGGAGAAGTTGTAGCTTGTCCTAGTAAGGGGCGTGGGCTTGTCTTCCTCAGCTATTGCCCCTAACTTCATTGCTTCATCAAAGATGGCATAGATGGCTTCTCTTACAGAAGTCTCTGCCGTGCGAAACTCCTCTGTCATCTGCTCAACAAACGGCGAAGTGGCAGAGAACTTTTCGTGCTCGGGATCTTGGAAAAGGACCATAATACCTTGCATCAAAACCGGCACTTTCTCGCATAGCCTGTTGTTCTTGTCGAAGGCCGTATAAAAATACGGCTTAAGCTCCGGCACTCCGGTATAGTCAGTCAAGCCACTAACGACGGCGTCTCTCCACGGGCGCTTTTCGATCAGGCTATCCCAACCCGTCATCATCCAATATGGTATCTGCATAATTTCGGATTAGTTAAATACAGGGAAGAATGCAACAGGAAACGCATGCTATCAAAGCTCGCGTACATGTAGTCAGTTATGTTAGCAACATCTTGGATAACCTGGCCATGATGCAGGCTAAAAGAAGGTATAAGACTGGGGATAGAAGACGAGAGACAATAATGGGATAACAGCATACCATAACGCTATATGTCTCGGCGAAAACACTAGCGTGGAACTTGTCACCGGCTCTGGGAGGACCAACCCGAGCCAAGAGAGTTGCGATTCCTTTAGAGTGGATAAGTGGACGGTGTCCAGGGTCGAACAAGGCCTCGGCGCGCTGCACAATGAGAATAGCTGCTAGAGTTTCCATAGTGAAGGCCTGGTCAGTCTTCAAAACACGAGAGAGACTGTGGATTGCTTTCCCGTATAACGGCATGTTTATGAATTCGACCGCCGCGCCACCTGAGCGACGGCTTGACCAGACCGAACAAAGCAGATCGACCGAGTCACGAAGACTTTGATTTGCTGACATTCTCTTTGGAAGGTGGCAGAGGATCTCAGTTTGGGTAATCATCTGGTCTTTCCCGGAGCTTCCCAAATGACCAACTAGACGGGCAGCAACACCGTCATCGATCGTGGTAAGAGCCGAGCGAAGGGGGCCTGTATTGAGCCCTTTTGGAGTGGGGTTATAGATCCTTGGGAGTGCTATATGGGGATGGGGATTGAGCTGTTTACCAGAAGCTTGGGCGGCATTTTGACTCTTCCGGAAATACCCAGCTCTCCGTAACATACTCTGTGGGGTCGAATGATCTTGGTTCACGACGAATTTGAGTATTAGAGTTGGCCCTGGGCATGGTGCCCTTTTTCGCGCACAACCACCACACTGAGGCCAAGCCTCATCACACTGTTCATTCACGGACGGGGTCGTCAGGGCGCTATGCATGGTGAAGAGCATCTTTGGCTGTACGCACCTTTATTTTGCGATTTTTGCATGACTGGCAGCCATGTGAGCGAGGCACTCCAGGCATCGCAGCAGCAGTGTATTTCAAAGTGCCGACCACACCTCGCCAATCGTGTATTGGTGATTGATCAAGTGTGAGGAGTGAAGGAGTGGGGAATAGGTGTCACTCAAGTAGAAGGATTCTGATATGCATAATTGCATAAAGATGCTGGCAAGGGTACTGCATCTGGCTGTCTCCATTATTTCCCGTTATTGCCACATGTTCCCAGTCTCCTCCGAGATAGTTTTTTCTTGATTTGGTAGTTCGTCCGATAAATAAGCCAGAAGGTGGCTTGGAAACAAGCACCGGTCGAGACTAACAACACATGGCGGAGGGAGGTCGAAATATCTGATGCTCTTGACTTTGCCTGGCAATCTAGGTGCTTCTTAGATGCTAGTAGACTCCTGCGACGCGCTAGACTTCTTGTTTATGAGCTCGCTTTGGTACTGATGGTGGAGATGAGGCCAGGAGTATTAGAAATGCCGATTTAAGAGCCAGTTCGAACATGCGACTCAACGAACACACCCTAATCACAGGAGTATAGTCTGCGAGCCGATGTAGCTAGCTATGATGAGAAGGGAACTAACACTCATTGATCAAATTCTTGCTGCATAGTTCGTGAACCAGGCCCTTTTTGATGGACAAGGAGCATACGTTTCCCGCTGCTCACTACAACGAGAACCAAACAGCTATTCGGCATATCTCTATATAGACATGTGTGTAGTAATTGGCCAGAAAAAGCGAATCCAGTGAGCTGCCCACTCCAATTCAGTGCGGAGAAGTCCCCTGTTCCTTTCTCCAAATTCTCTAATTATGAAAACATGCCGGAAGGTGTGGAGCAGAGGGGAAGGGCAAAATAAAGTCACAAGAGCAGGTAGCCTCATCGTATCCTCACCCCTTAGCAGACCACGCTACTTATTTTGATTCATGACAAATAAATTTGGTAGATCATGGCCCACTAGCAATACCAGTTACTTTCCTGGGCAGGATTTTCAGTACTTATGTGCCCAGTTATTGACGTACGTGCGCTGCTCCAGTCCTCCTCCGCATGGTGTCCGCCGAGGGAGTGTGGGTGGATGCGTCTAAACGCAAGCGTCCGCACATGATTGAGACGTAAAACATATTAGTGGACTTGATGGAACGAAAACCGCTCGTTCATCATGCTCGAACTACAATCAGCTCATGAATCATAGTGGAGCGCTTCTAGAACGACGGCTTTGCCAGGGTCCGGTTTCTCCAGCAAAGCAGAGGAGCAGCATGTGGGGGGATTGGTCATAGTTTGCTTTAATATCGCAGGCGTAGCTATTTTACTTCTCCCTTGGGCTGCCTCTTCTCCATCATCCTTTCTCATTCTTCTTATCGAATCTTTAAACGCGTCCAAAAAGCCCATAATGAAGTCCGAGAAAACTGAAAATGCCGAACTAGGCCAGCCCAATATCAAGCCTGGTGTTGGCGACGATGTCACTCACGATGCCGTCTTCGGTGCTGTGACTGAGGACGGTCCTAATTACCGAAGCGTGGGATGGATTGCTACCACGATTCTCATGGCTAAGAGCAACATTGGGCTCGGAGTCTTGGGTATTCCGTCTGCCTTCCAGGTCTTGGGTCTCATTCCTGGTGTTATTCTCATCCTGGCGATTGGTGGCACAGCCACCTGGACTACGTATGTCATTGGGCAGTTCAAGCTCAACCACCCCGATGTGTACAGCATTGATGATGCTGGCTTCAAAATGTTTGGTCGTTTGGGACGAGAAATACTCGGTGCTGTGTTTCTTCTCTGTAAGTCTGTTTTTACCTTTATCGGTTTCCATTCTCCATAGCTCTTTGTAGGCCTCTTGCTAATGCTTCACAAACGCAAGATTGGATTTTTGTCACAGGTTCTGGCTTGCTCAGCGTCTCCATCGCTCTCAATGCCGTCTCGACACACGGTGCTTGCACTGCGGTCTTCGTCGTCGTAGCCGCTGTCGTCGCCATCTGCCTCAATAGCATTCGAACCCTAGGGCGAATCACCATCCTGGCTTGGGTCGGTCTCTTTAGTATCATTGCAGCCAGTAGGTTCCATCAACAACAATTTCAACATCATCACCCTCAGTGACACAAAAGGCAACTGACCATGTCGAACAGTCTTCACCGTCACCATTGCCGTCGGCATCCAGGATCGACCAGCCTCCGCTCCACAGACCGGACACTGGGAGTCTGATTACAAGCTCTTCGGCACCCCAACCTTTTTGGAGGCATCGACCGCTGTTTCTAGCTTGATCTTCGCCTTTGCTAGTGTCAGTCTTTGCTTTAGCTTCGCTGCTGAGATGAAAGAGCCCAAGCACTACGGACGAGCAGTCTTTAGCTGTTTGAGTCTTGTTGTCGGCATATATCTGGTGATTGGCATCGTTGTTTACTATTACTGCGGCTCCTACGTTTCTAGCCCTGCGATGGGCTCGGCTGGTCCTCTGATGAAGAAGGTCGCATATGGCATCAGTATCCCAGGCGTTATGGTTTCCACCATTCTTCTCTCTCACGTAAGCTTCCATTGCATCCGTTCCATCGATTGATGACACACGCTAACCTCATCTCCTTGTCTAGTTGGCTGCCAAGTACGTTTTCGTTCGTCTTTTGCGTGGAACCCCCCATCTGTCATCGAACAGCATGCGCCACTGGGTGACCTGGTTCAGCTGTACCATTGGTGTTGTCGTCGTTGGGTACATTATTGCCAGCGCCATCCCTGTCTTCAGCACCCTCATCTCTTTGATCGGAGCCCTCCTCGGCACGCTGATGACCTTCCAGCCTATGGCTTGCATGTGGATCTATGACAACTGGACGACGGATAAATCTCGACGCACCCCCAGATGGTACGCCATGGTAGCCTTCTCTTGCTTTGTTATTCTAGCTGCTACCTTCATCATGATTGTTGGGACTTGGGGATCCATTGTGGAAATCAACGCACAGTACAAAAAGTCTGGCGGATCAGCAGCCTGGTCCTGCGCGGATAACTCCAACTCTGTTTAGGATGAAACGCCTTTCTGGAGAAAGCTTGAAAATCTGTATACTTCATTTTGTATAATTATGATCATTTTTTAGAGAAAGTATAGAAATGGAATGGCTACCTACTTAGATCGTCTCTCCTTCATGTTTCATTATGAGCAATTTCTTTCATATTACCTATGTATGGCATGTCACTCTTGCTAGTAATTACATAAAAGTTACCTTATTCTCTATCTAGACGTCTGGTCCGCTCGTCTGGGGATCACGCAGGGGCTGCTTCCCCAATACCCTTCCACGAGATACCACCGCGGGATCTTCAGAATTCCCACAGAATACTTCTGTGTATGGAAGCTTTTGGAGAAATGAATTGTAATGCGGTATAATGACTCAGTAGCTCCTGGCGGGACCTTGCGCTGGGTGGAGGAGGCTGCAGATCGGAGCTACCATGATCCCTGCTCCTGTATTGCGCCGTAGCTACCCGTTCAGGGACCCTTCTCGTCCTTGATTCGAACCACTGACTCGCTAGATCTGCGCTGGTTCTTGCTCCACTTGGTCCGGTAATAGCCGTGTACGCTCAATGTCATCGGAGTGCTAGCTGACTTTCAATACATCCATCCAGCAGCACCCTTGGTGAATCTGGTGCACATGAACAGGTGTAAAAAATCACAGAACAGTTTTTAGGGGGAAACTAACGCGGATTACGCCATCCTCGGGGATGATTAAAGATTTACAAGCCGAAGCCGTCGCCACTATCTTGGACTTGACACTTCGTTTTGAGTGGATATTGAGACCTGCCATTGATTGTGTTGAGATGCTAGTCTAGCCTCTTCCCTTGTTATGTTTTACCCTATACTCAGACTCTCATCCGTATTAATACCTACATTCAGCTCTTAGAATCCAACATCACATCCATCAAAGATCAGTCACACGCCCTGGGTTATTAATGAACCCAAATACATAAAATGCAGGTTCTGTATTTCTATAGCATCACATCAGCCTCTCAGATCCTTGAGGCATGGTGGAGTTGTACTAAATGGCCTTGTTTTAGACGAGGGACTTTTAGTATCGCTTCCGATATCGTTCTCGCCTATCGTTCTGGATTGGCTCGTTGTCTTTGGCCATAAGCTAAGTGGGTTTTGTTGCCTATTAATCTTAGGCCTTGCAAATTGGAGTCATTGTGAGCAGCCTCAGGACGATTATCTGGCTCAAAATGCATACTATAATTCCCAAGGGAAAATAACAGCATATATAAGCAAGTGGTTCAAGGGAAACTATGGCGAAGAAATACATTTGCACATTCAAACAAGGACACGTTGATTGTAGAAGCTATTACCCAATACCCGCCAAGATAATGGCAAGGCAGTCACAGCGCTACAAAAATGCCCTGGCCAAAATGTCTTTAAGACATAGAGATCAAGTTGTATTATAACCTGCTTTGGATAATACTACTCTCCCCTATGTTGGTCATGCTACTCTTCCCGACCTTGAAGATTGGGGTGTGCGACTAGGACGGGTCGGGTTACAACGTAAAAGGCAAAACCATCTGACTTTGTAGAAAACTGAGACGATGTGGATTAGAATTAGAGATCTCAAGGGTCTGGGAGAAGTTAGATTCTTACCTGAACTTCAGATCCAACATGGAAAAAAGCGAAATCTCCCTGGACTAGGCGGTGGGTTTTACCGGTCGCTTTGTCCTGAGCACAAGGTTAGCATTTTCTTTGTTGAGTGTATATGCAAACCCCTCTGCAAGACGGGGAGAGCTTACCAAGATGTCAATCTGCCCATTCAGGACATACTTACTCTCTTCATAATCGTAGATTGCTGTACGTGGGGCACCAGCGGTAATTTTGTAGAACCCGGAACTAATATGAGCGGGAGACTCCGCGGTTTTGGTGCGGGTGGTGTGGAAGTCGGCAACGGTGGCACAGGAGTTCTCGGGGATCGGGATGAACTCGGCGCCAGCGCCCTTAATAACGGTGATGGGAACAATTCCTGACACTGATCAAATGTAAATCAGTTTTCCATTCTTTTCAGCGGATTAAATGAGT